AAATAAATAAGAATATATGCCACAGTGTAGTATCTAAAGTCACTGGTAATGTGGTGAAACACATCATTGTTACATTTTACGGTAGTTTTTCTATCTTTTATATACTTCTAATAAAATACTGAATTTGTACTCTTTTGGTATCTATTCGGAGGATCTAGGTGGCAATTGTTACTTTTGGTGGGAGATTTTCCGCCCGTGTGGGCCATGCAAATAGTTCAAGCATTGGGTAGCTATCGGCCTAGGTAGGCGAGTAGGAGATTGCTTAGGAATCTGCAAAGTGGTACCGCCCCGAGGGGATCTTTCCATCTTCGACAACACGATTCTCCATTTTCCTTCTCTTTGCATAGGCTAGCTGGATAACTCACGGTTGCGTAGTGTTTCCCAGAAGCACCTTAAAATCTCATCCAGCCGCTTCAATGATTATTCAGTGGAGCTGTGGTAAATCCTGTGGGGCGAACTCGATGTGAGTGGTAAGTACAGTGGAGACAAGAGTAAGTTTCGCAGATTCCAGAATAGCCCACACCATCCCCTGGGGGGGGGGGAGATATACAGGGCCCTGGGGCACACAGTATAAAGCCGGTGAGGGCAAGTATAGGCGACCAGCCGCATCTCCCTCCACTGCCTCACACCAGGCTGCAAGATTCGCACGTCAGCGTAGCATAAGCAGAAGGCAGGACGAGAGCTGGCAATCATGAGAAAAGGTGCCCGGAGGAATCTACACTCGATCCGATATCAGCTGAGGTCAGTGTAGGGCACCAAAATGAAAGGTAAAAGCTTTTTAAATAGGTATTGTTGAGGAGCTAATACAATCTGCATCCCTCTAGCTTAACGGTCAGGCCCCACACCCCACTTTCTTTTATTTATAATATAAAATCCAACTTCCTTCACATTATAGTTTTCCTCTGTGTGCTTGTCCCATTTCATACTGGAATACTCCTGAGGCTCTGCTCTCTTCAACTGTTCAACCATAGACATTCTTCCTTTGAACAAATAAAGAAACTCTGGTTTGGGTTGTTCCAGCTGTTACTATCCAAAATTACAAGCGCTGGAAACTTACCTCTTCGTTCTTTCATTTGGAGAGTTCATAAGAATGATTGACACGGCGTTAAGAAGCAGGTGCCCAATAATGATGTGTGGGTTTCTACATTCATTTTTCCCATAACATACATGCTTGTTAAATATAGAGGACATATAAACATTGTATTAAGAATCCTGGTACGTGACAGTTCTTTATCAACTCTGGCCTAATTGGGGTAACAGTAAAGGAGGATCCAGAAAATCTACGCTGGAGTATGGAGTCTGTACAATTTTTAGCAACAAGTCCATATATTGTCTTGTCTATCATAGTTTCCAAAAAGCAAAATTTCAGATTTAAATAGATTTAATGCACTACAGAAAAATATAAGGAATGAAAATATATTTAATTTTTTTTTTACATTCAGTGAAACAATGCAAAATTTACAGGTAGAGTGAATGATATAATCACTGCATGGCTGTATTTTCAATCACTAGCCAGTGTTACAGTGATAATATGAAAATCTAAAATTCATCAAACGCAGTACGTGAATAAGCTGTCTAACATAGCAAATCAGCGCCCCCTGCTGAATGGACACAGGAACACAAGACACTTCATCTAAAATTAGACTGCATTTTTTAAAATCTTAAATTTTTTCTATCTGTAAAAAAAATAAATAAGAGGGTTAATACTGATTTTAATTAATTAGACATAATAATTTCATATATCAAGATCATTTACGAATATAATTTAGTGTATGTAAGTGTTATTTTGGTGTGATCACAGCACTGAAAAAGCATCCACTTAGATTGTCACTCATATTGTTCCATTGTTGTGTTATATTAATACTGCATGTGAATATTTACAAGTTTAATATCTTACTGCATAAATTATTTAGTTCACCATATTCTAGAGCTTTAAATTATTATTTTTTTTAACCATTTTGTGGTGTAGACTAGTGCGGAACACTTTGATTGCTCAGCCATAAACAGTGATGTATGGGCACTAAATAAACCTTTTGGGGATTGGCTGGGAGAAAATTTAAAATATATTCCTCAGTTAAACTAGATTCTACATTAAGAAGATATATCGAATGGCTAAAATAAGGGCAGGCAACATGCAAGTAATAATACAATACAATAACTGTAACAAAAAGCTTCAATTAACCTTTTTTCACTTCGACTATGTAAAATCTCTTTTGTGAAGTTGAAAAGTATGTTTAATATTCCTAATAAAGATACTGGTGAACATTTAATATGCAATTTAAAAGATGGAGTTTGAATGTCGCTAAAGTATAAAGGAACATTATAATGGCAGTGCATTTACGTGGCCATATGGCCATTAAACCAATGTTTAATCTTGAAGGCATGTACCCCCTAGTTCCAAATCTATCACATGGAATATACCTATGAATTCAATGCAACCTTGTCAGCGTGGTACCTTTTTTGCTTTCGTTTAATTTTGCTACGGTCATCTGAGCACATCTTCATTATAATATTGCCCAGTTTAACGATAACTTTTTTTACTCACTTTTTTTACTGGAATTACTCACGAGAACAGTACGTGACATATATGTGTATTTTCCTAAGCTGAGTTTTTAAAGTAACTGCATTCAGTAACCAGAGGGGGTTGCAACCTTGGAGACTTGAAACTTAGCACCTAAGCAATTTGCAGAGACATTTAACTAAAGATGGCACTGATTACGCTACATTATATTTTCCTATTCATCTAAACTTTAGTTTTGTGACTAGACTCCAAATGTATCAAAAGATGAGATTTGTAGCTTTTATTTATGGATATTTTGTTTAATGCTTCAATGAGGATATGAGACCGTATGCTTGCTATTTGACATCTTGTAAAATGCGATGAGAACGAGTATCTAAACTGATTACTTCTAAACAAGCACCAATTTTTGGCCACTTTGCTGCCCAGTCTGTAAAAAGTGCTCATCGTTGAGTGAAAGATCAGCGTCTAATGCATTGTTAGAAGCGGTTTGTTCCTAGTCCACATCTGGCGTTAAGATGATAACAGTATTACCCGCCTTATGAACTGGAAATGTTTTGTTAAAGTGTTATTTCTATAACCCTGTAAAGCTTCCTTAACTACAATAATTTCTTGTCGGTACAAATTGATTTTTTTTTCTTCATGCTTGGTTTGAGAATAATATTCCCTTTTATTAAGAACAGAGAAAACAGTAAGATGAGATGACATAAAGAAGTGGGGGTGGAGGGATATGAGAGACCAGATGACTTGGGGGGAGGGGGGGGGGTCAAATGGAGTAAATAATATGAAAGAATATAAAACAGCATAGGAGAAGGAGTGGAGAATTGATTGGAAGGAAGCAAAGGTTTACAAGAAGAGACTTAGAGAAACATAACATTAGGGTGTTGAACTTTGAAGAAAATAGCTATGGCTGGTGATCGCAGAACGTTTACGGACTTACTGTTTTTGAACTGCTTAAGTGCCAGGTGGCACGCAACTGATACAGCAGAAAATACATCAATAGGTAGTGCACAGGAAGTATAAACCATTTAAAGGGACACTATAGGCATCCAGACCACATCAGCAGTGGCGTACACACGACCCATGGGGCCCCGGTGTGAAAATTGATCCGTGGGCCCCCCCCACGCGCTTACTCTGTGTGGGCCGGGGCCGCAACACATGGCGGCGGGCACCTGGTCGTGACCAGGTATGTACACCAGTGCATGCAGATACACACACACACTTAAAGGACCACTACAGACACCCAGATCACATCAGCTCAATGAAGTGGTCTGGGTGCCAGGTCCCTCTAGTTTTAACCCTGCAGCTGAAAACATAGCTGTTTCAGAGAAACTGCTATGTTTCACTGAGGGTTAATCCAGCCTCTAGTGGCTGTCTCATTGACAGCCGCTAGAGGCGCTTCCGCAATTCTCACTGTGAAAATCACAGTGAGAAGATGCTGGCCGTTCATAGGAAAGCATTGAGTAATGCTTTCCTATGGGTGGTTTGAATGCGGGAGTCCGGCGCTGGAGAAAGGTAAGTGCTGAAGGGGTTTTAAACACACACACTGTCATGAACAGACGCATACACACTAGCTAACAGACACACATTTACTGACAGAGACACTCAGCGACATACAGACTGACTCACTGACAGACAGACACACATACACACTCACTTACAAAACAAAACATACACTCTCACTGACAAACAGACACTCAATAACAGACACACACAAACTAACACACCCACTAGCAGACACACACACACACACACTCTAACACACATACACAAACACTTGTTTTTTAAAATTTAATCCCCCAGCCTCCTTACCTTTGGGAGAGCTGAGGGGATTCCCTGGGGTCCAGTGGTGCTGCTGGGCGGCCGGTCACCGGGCAGACGGGCTGGAAGGCTGGCGCTTGGCGAGGGAGCACTCTCCCCTGAGCGCTCTCTGCACAGCTCCCTCGTGCGCACCGCACTGATGCCGGAGCGAGAATATGACGGTAGGACCGGACGCCCAGTGACACCAGGGTCAGCCTCGGGGGGCCCTGAGGTGGCCAGCTCCTGGGTCCCCCAGAAGAAGAGGCTGGCCACACTGGCATGCATACCGGGTATACCTGCGACCGCGGTATGTACGCCACTGCACATCAGCCCATTGAAGTGTTCTAGGTGCACTGTCCCTGTCCCTTTAACCTTGCAATGTAAAACATTAGTATCAGAGGAACTGCTTTACATTGCAGGGTTAAGACAGCCTCTAGTGTCTTCCAGAGGGACCTCAGTGCTGGAGTTGAAAGTTTTTTTAACTCTTTATTGTCAGGGAGCGTGGGTAAGGGACACTAGAAGGAAAGGGACACTATAGAGATTTGTATTCCTGAAACTATAGTGTTCCTTTGAATGTTTTCTTTCTTTTAATGCACAGAGAGGCTGAATGATCAAGTGCATGGGAGCATAATTAAACCAGCCATTTTATGCAGCACCTATTAAATAAATGACGCTTTAGGGAAGCCAAGCTCGATCTTTATTTACATCCAACACTTTTGGATGGTTTCAGCATGATCATAATTAAGTTAGTAAATGGTACAGTTTGCAGACGAATACTGAGTGCACTGGAAATCATTAGTTAACTCGCTGTATCCTGGCGTCAAATCCAAAGCGCTTCCTGGCAAATAAGCAGATATATTAGAAGAAATAATCTTTCTATAAATGGTCTATTCATAACAAACTTTTTTCTTTCTTTTTTTAATTTAGATATCTCACCTTCAACAAGATTATGAAGATTGCAGTAGTTTATACCATCATCCAGAACTACGTACCACGGCTCCGAAACCGAGAATGCCTGTGAAATACAGTGAAGTACCAAGTGGATTTTCAATCATAGCAGTCTGGACATACCAGTGCCATGTTATTGAGTACATGAATTCATATATCTGCAGTGATACTATTTCCTATTTTACTATTGACTGGCAGAAGCTTGTAAAACTCACAATGTACAGAGATGTGGTCATACATTTTGTGTGGAGGCAGTGATTTCAAAGCATTGCAGTTTCATTCCTGGGGGTTTTTTTTTACTCCAGTGGATACTTACATTCACCCTACTCATTTCACCTTGCGGCGATGGCAAACACCAGGGGCGTCATACATATTAATTGTATTGGACTCTGGCACCCTGATGAGCCTCAAGTACCTCAGTCCACCCAGAAATATCCTAGTGGACCAGTAACCCTGGGGAGCATTGAGACTACAACTCAGTAGCCATTACACAAATCCACAAAGTACTGGGCTAATAAATGCTCTGGACAATTCATATTACTTTAGTGTGCTGAACTGTGTAAACAGTCCAACACACCTCACACTATTTTCATTTTTAGTAGAATGCCTGGAGTCCATAGTCCAATATTTCATTCCCAGCTCTTGCTCAGTGTCCCAGTGGAAAAATAGTAGATGCATATTTTTGTTTTAAATGCCTTTATCAAGTGTGTTACAACATATCCTTTCACTAACCAAGAGTTTCCCTCTAATCCATTAATAATAATTTGACAAATATAGTTTAAAACATTTTAGAACATATTTTAAGATGTATTTAGTAGAAGTATACTACGACGGGTAGTATACAATTTCTGTTATACATACCACCACGCGGCAAGATATTTCTTGAACCGGGATCAGCTTAAAAGTGAGGTCGTCCACATACTGGTGTATCATGTTTGTATGTTTTGCAACTACGTAATGTTCATTAGCTGATTTGAGCTAAAGAAAGAAATTATATCATTAGTTGTTCTTCAAATTTGTTGCTGTGATTTTTTTTTTTATTAGCCAGTCTGAGCGAAAATAGAAATTAATTAGTTGTTTTTCAACGTGTTGCTTTGACTGTTTATTTCATTTAAATAATAGAGGAGCAGTTAGGATAGAAGAAAGAAAATAAAAATTAAAAATAAATTCTCAATATGTTTTTAAGGTGATAACATTTGTCGAACTTGTCTTGTTGCAACTTTTGTGTGTTGGTTAACCTATTGTACAGCTCCGTGGAAAATGTTGCTGTTTTATAAAAAAAAAGAAAATTCTAATAAAGAAACTAAAAAGAAATTAATGAGTATGTCTTAGTTTGCTTTGTTTAGAATTCTTTTGTATGAATACAAAAAACACAACACACGACCAGTTCAATAGATGTCTGTGTATCTGTTTCCTCTAACAAACATAACTAACAGGGATTTTACTAAATTGAGAATTGTCAGGAAATTAATGTGAACTCAACATGAATTTCAAATTTAACGCTAAAATAGCTCAATTGGATGCATAGTTGACTTCTGCATTCCTGACCATTCTCACTTTAGACTGTAAGCTCGTTTGAGCGGGGTCCTCGTCAACCTATTGTTCCTGTAAGTTTTCTTGTAATTGTCCTATTTATAGTAATACCCCCTTTCATAATACTGTAAAGCGCTACGGAATCTGTTGGCGCTATATAAATGGCAATAATAATAATAATAATAGCAAACAGACCATCTAGTGAAGCATGATTGTGCCTGGCATGATGCATCACGAAAGGCATTCTGGGATGCAGCGCTAAAGGCTCGTTTCCAAAATTGTCCATAAATATTTGTCATAAGCAGTGAAAGGAACAATCAACACTAACGTTGACATTTTGCAGTGGGGAAACAGCTGTTACTACACAAGATTTGCGACAGCTACTATAGTGCGTAATAAGCCCTAAAGTTAGGGAAGGGTTGGTCTATTCATTCATGTCTTCTCTGGCAGAAATTTCTGTAGACAAACCTCCAACTATTTAACATACTTAATTGTGACTTCTCAGGATGTTTGCACAAATTTGTGTACGCAAGCTCTAAAAAAAATTAAATGAAACATAGAAATTTACACTGCTGTATTTGTCTTTGTCCTGAAACTACGTACTTCCATTGTGACTCAATGATTGTAACTCATAAGTTGCCCTTTTCTCCCACATTGCAGTGTATTGTGAATTGTAATGCCAACTAATAAATCTTTAAAATACATTTAAAAGAAAATGCATCACATAAACACAACAAGAACTTAATACAAGTTACATGTGTTTTTTTTAAAAAAGACACTCCACTTCCTAAATAATATATATATATATTTATTTTTTTAATCACTATTTAATATTTATCCAATGAAAACATGCATACATTTAATTATGCATTGTTTCATTGTGAGTATGCCTAAGAACAGTTTGCAAATGCTGCAGATTATCTTGTCTGCAGCCTTTGCAAGCGCTTCCCTTATAACCCCGTCCAGACTTTTCCTGGCTGTTAAATCACAGACTTCCCAATGCAGCTCAATGTGATTTTTTTAACTGGGCAATTATCTGCCTCTTGATTTTAGCTCCACTGAGGTAAACAACCAGGAAGTAAAAGGACCAGTTGTCTAATTGACAGCCAGGGGGTGTAAAAAGGTTCGTTCTGCACGTAACATGGCTGATTCATCTATTTACAAAAAGCTGCATTGTTAGTGAAATGCCTTCATTTGGGTGTTTCTTTTCCTCTGGTAGAGAACAGGGGAAATGCACCCATAACTCTTAGCATCCCAACCTTAAGTCACCCTAACATTATCACCATCCCTTTAACTTACCTTGACTCCATCTCAAGAAATTCAGTAGCAATTTGGTTGAGCTATTTTCAAATAAATCTCACTGTACTGATGAGAATTGTTGCTATTAGAATGGATCAATTCTGCTCAATTCGATTAGCATTGTGTTGTTAGTAAACACAATAAACAACAGAGCAATGTTACAGTGCTATAGATTTGAGTAGAATGCAGTCAGCCAACTAGAGTCCTTATTGCAATCTTTTTGGAACATGAGATTCATTACGTGGCATAGGTTGCTGTACGGGGATAACTAAAATAAAGTAAAATTTAGGGATAAAATGTTTTAGGTTTTATACAGTATCGATTTTCTTGCAAATGTTTCAGTCAGAACCTGAAAGATTAGCTTGTGAGCAAAAATATATATTTGTGGTCAGAACTTAATTCGTATATGAAAATAGAGAAGAGAGGGAAAGTTGGTAGTAGTGTGCCGAAACCAACGTACGATTAGGTCTGTAATAAAGAGGGCCCACTAAAGGTAATGTAATGATGATAGTAAGTTATTAGAGGGAGTGGTGGGAGGGGTCGCTCTAACAGGAACCAGCATAGGTAAGCAGGGGGGTAGAGCTTATATGGGGAAAACTCCTACCACAAATTCAGGCCTATGGACTTTTACATATAAATAAATACAGCTGTAAGCAATGGAAGTGACCAAACTTAAAACCCTGAATACAACAATCAGCAGAGAAAGAATGTAGCAGTGTAAATAGCAATTGTATGTGTTTTAGAAATATATTTGAAGACATTTTCTAAATTGTTCACATAAACCAATATAATCATCAAATCGGAGGACATATGGTCTTTATATTGAAGATAGCCAATCCCACCATATATGTTTATCATGACATTAATTTTAAGGGGTTTGGGTGAGGTAGTCTTGATTTTGTAGTAATATGAATGATACATTTTAATATTTGTGATTATTTCAAAATGGCTGCCAAATCACATGACATTATCAAATGAAGCGGCCAAGCATAATAGCATAGTTAAAGTACATAGAACCATAAAACACAGGGGCTCCATATTGGCAATAGCAGAGTACTCCCGAGATTTTATCACCACGATGATTTTAAAGAGTTTTGCTGAGCAATTTTATTGTATAGTTAATTTGGCCACCCACTATTGGCAAACGTTTGCTGAATGTTATATTCTAATGCAATACTTACTTCATACAAACATCTTTCACCTCCTTGTTTACAGTTGTCGTCTGTCCTCCACAGCTTAATTTGTGTCACCAGAGTTACATATACATCGAAACAGGATATTCCAAAGGTCCTGAATAACAATTTGCATTCAAAGAAACAGTTACAACTTGACTTGTATACCGCTCATTTTTAAAATTTCCTAATTAGCAGATTTCCTTTATTTATGTTGTATGTATTCTATTGTCCATACACACTGCGGTATAAAGATGTCATGGAAAATTCTAATGGAAACTGCTGTGTTCATTATACATCATGGTTACTCAATGATTCTCATCCTCAAGTTTTATTGTGAATTATTATTTTATAGCATTTAAGGTGTAAAGTATTTGCTAAATGTATATGTTCTTGTCTTCTTATAGAATATACATGTATATGTTGTAAATAATCATAAAAATTAAATTTTTCAAATTAACAGCATTTTACCCTGTGTTGTCTGGGTAATATAGATTGAATTCAACATATAAATTTAACTGTAACTATGTCACACAGCTGTGTGTCATTTTAATTTACCATCTGTCAAAAAATTTTTGTGCGGATTCAATGTTAGTAAGTAAAGACCATATTTTTACAATGTGATCCACTGTTTGTTTTTATAAAAATTACATAAAATCAAGGTTTTACAGTCTGAAACACTGGTGTTTATTTCTTGTTAAGCGAGATTTTCCACCCATTTCCATCTGTGAGGTAACTCACATCAGCTCTTTTAACAACCAGACACAGTGTTAAAACTTACCAGGAAAGGTTAAAGGATCTTAACATATATAGCTTGGAGGAAAGACGAGACGGGGGGATATGATAGAAACATTTAAATACATAAAGGGAATCAACACAGTAAAAGAGGAGACCATATTTAAAAGAAGAAAAACTACCACAACAAGAGGACATAGTCTTAAATTAGAGGGGCAAAGGTTTAAAAATAATATCAGGAAGTATTACTTTACTGAGAGGGTAGTGGATGCATGGAATAGCCTTTCAGCTGAAGTGGTAGAGGTTAACACAGTAAAGGAGTTTAAGCATGCGTGGGATAGGCATAAGGCTATCCTAACTATAAGATAAGGCCACGGACTAATGAAAGTATTTAGAAAATTGGGCAGACTAGATGGGCTGAATGGTTCTTATCTGCCGTCACATTCTATATTTCTATGTAAATTACAATCTTTGCATATAAGTTATAAATTAGGTTTACTTACTTGAACTCTAGAGTCAGGCGAAGCTCCCAGCGCTGCTTTCCCCCCAAAGTCAGACCTGCAATTACGTAGTCCAATCAAAGGCTTCTCACAGAGAAACCTCAGATTGAACCATGCTGGTTCAGAGTGCATGCATGCAGGGAGGGAAGAGAGACACAAGACTCCCCTTGCAGGCTCTGCCTGCGAGCAGTGTGTGCTGATAACCGATGTAAAATATGCACAGAATTTACATTAGGCAGCCTAAGTCACATTGGGCTGCATAAGTCACATGTGCTGGGGGTGTAACTAGCCCTCCGTCACAAAAATGCAAATACCTGTGCAGTGTTTCACTAGCCCCCGTCACAAAAATGCAAAACCCTGTGCAGTGTTTCAAAAACTGAACGGTAGACACCTTCTTACATAACTACCTCGAAAAACTGAAGTGGTCATGGACATTAAAATAACTCTTTAAAGAATATACAAATGCAATATATTTAACTAGGGTTACCATATCCACCATGTTTTCAGGGACACATGTCACATATTCATATTCATGGGCAGCACATGAAAAGGGTTGCCCTGTTGTATGAAGAATTCACAAGGTGTATAAGATGAAGTAATTAGGCAATGAAGAATCCTGCAGAGTATGTATTATACATACTGCATTTCATAAATATGACAAAATTATATGTGTTTCTGAAAACATGATGGATCTGGTGATCCTGTATATAAAATATAAAAACATGAAAAAAGGGATAGGAACAAGTATAACAAAATAGCATAGGATTAATCAAATAAAAAAACAAACTATATTTTTTTTCTGAATATCATGGGAAAGCATTGGATTGGCTAAAAATTGACCATTTTGATGATGTCACAAAGGGGGCGGAGCCAGCGCCAACTGACCCGTGCGGCACTTGAAATAAGGTGATTTTTTTTACTTTGATAGGGGGGCTAAGTGGGGTGGGCTAAGGGGGGGCAAGCCACCTAAATGGTGAGTTAAACACTATAGGGTCAGGAATACACTATAGTGATCCTTTAAGAATATAACCAACTTTATTAAAAATGTTTGTTAGTTTTTTTCATTTGCTTAAACAGTAGAGAATATGACCATTATATCTTGCCCATCATGAATAGATCAGATAAAGAATTTAATTCATGATTTATTTTAGTAATGAATACTAGAGACTTTTAATATCATTTACCTCACTCACTGAGACCCACAATAATTCACATTCATCTCAGATGAGATATCAGTAAAAATCTAAGAATTGTAACCGTTATAAAACTGGACATCCACGCTCTTAGAAAGAGTAATATGTCTTTTCACTGTCAATACAATTAGTTAAGATTGTGTGATCTTACAAAAAAAATATCTGTTCACATACAAGATGGCCCAGCTTTTAAATTTTACCAGCTTTATAAAACATATTTGAAATATGATTTTTTTTTTTTCTTTCAAAAATTGCCTCAGGAGAAATCATAGTTGACTGGCATGCTGTGATATATTTTTAATAGAAGAACATAATTATTCCACGCTGTGTGTATATTATTTGCACTGAGAGATGCTTACACACCTGATTAATATAATAAGCTAGTCGTTATTATTACAGTACCCAGAACAAGAGATATATGCTAATATATCCTGCTTATTATAATGTCAAGCTTGGATTATTTTTACATACTGCAGATTAGTACAAAACACATCAGTATTTTAGCTTTTTAATGCTTTAAATTATATAAATCTATTGAAAATGAAAATACACACCGTGCACTATTGTACTACACACACCATTTGGTTGGAATAATCCTTACATATTTACATTGGGCAAATGAAATCTTGCCTAAAACTGTATAGGTTAACATTTTTGCTACACAGAAAACTGAGTTAAATTAAACCATGCATCTGGAGTCTATATTATCCTATTACAGCCTTTGAGTGTGCTTTTTTTTCTGTGTTATAGTATATCGGCTATATAGTCATCATAATCTATCATTAGGTCAAATAAACTTCACACTTTTTAATATGATTGATCATTTTGTGCTGGGCAAATGAATGTGGGTCAGCTCGGCTGCAGAAGCTAGCTCTGCAGCTCAAAAAAGTTTAGACTTAAAGCAGTTAGAAGGGGAATTGTGAAAAGCTAAAAAAAAATATGTTTAAACAGGGATTTGATCAAATGCGGTATGCATGTTTTAAAAACTATTTAAAAGCAGTGATTTGATCATATGCAGTATGCATGCCTAAAAAATCATTTGAAAGCAGGGATTTGATCATATGCTGCATGCCAGCCTGTTTCCTTGTGAATCAAAAATAAAGAAATTAATCAAATTCTATATACTGATATTACATTACAAACAAGCAGATACATTCTGGAATACTGAACATTTTATTTTAACTTTGCAATTTACTACATCAATGTTCCACCTTCTTCTTCTACCCAGTCCCTGGCACTTTAAAAACAATGAGCATTAATTAATTAATATCCAGATATTTAAGTCAAGAAAACCAGTACATACCATTCGAGTCTACACTGGGCATGGAGAGGTCCAGCAACATTTAAAGTTGGAAAAGATAGTAGAAACGCAAGATAAAATGCCTCTTTATTCTTAAGAAAGTTCATTTTTTACAAGTTGCCTGTTCTTGTCATCTCAGTCCCAACCAAAGGAGAGATTGGTTCGTCTTGTCATATTATGCTAAGTCACAAGGGTTAGGATTTTTAATTGAACACACTAGCACTGTCATGTGGTTAGAATCAGTCTAGCTTTAGTTACATTGATAAGGTCATTACTCCCCATTTTCAACCAAGCAGTGTCCTGATAAAACCCAGTAATGCAGAAGAATCAGGCTTAGTCACTGAAGTGTGAATTCAAAATAAGTTTCAAATCAATTAGATCTCGAAACTAAGTACCTTATATACATATGCCATCTCTCAGATAATTAGGCAAATGTTATATTTTCAATTCTTAAAGGGACACTATAGTCACCTGAACAACTTTAGCTTAATGAAGCAGTTTTGGTGTATAGAACATGCCCCTGCAGCCTCACTGCTCAATCCTCTGCCATTTAGGAGTTAAATCCCTTTGTTTATGAACCCTAGTCACACCTCCCTGCATGTGACTTGCACAGCCATCCATAAACACTTCCTGTAAAGAGAGCCCTATTTAGGCTTTCTTTATTGCAAGTTCTGTTTAATTAAGATTTTCTTATCCCCTGCTATGTTAATAGCTTGCTAGACCCTGCAAGAGCCTCCTGTATGTGATTAAAGTTCAATTTAGAGATTGAGATACAATTATTTAAGGTAAATTACATCTGTTTGAAAGTGAAACCAGTTTTTTTTTCATGCAGGCTCTGTCAATCATAGCCAGGGGAGGTGTGGCTAGGGCTGCATAAACAGAAACAAAGTGATTTAACTCCTAAATGACAGTGAATTGAGCAGTGAAATTGCAGGGGAATGATCTATACACTAAAACTGCTTTATTTAGCTAAAGTAATTTAGGTGACTATAGTGTTCTTTTAATGCTCATGTATGGTATATGAACCCATAGAAGCTGTTATGCTTTAAATTTGTAAAACCTGCATTTCCCAAAAACTAAGAAAGTTATGCTCCATAAAACACATCTTTTGTATTTATTTTGGTGTTATATAAGGGCCAGTCTCAGAGTCAAAACCACTTAAGCTTAACCCCTTAAGACCGCAGGGCATACTATTACGCCCTATTTTAAGCGGCTCTAAACGCCGCCGGGCGTAATAGTACGCCCTCCAGTCTTTCTATAATTACCCGGTCGCCGGCGAACCCCACGCCGGCGATCGCGGTTGAGGGGACTCCCAGGGAGCCCCCCCCGCAGCAGATCCTCCTCCTCCTGTGCCCCCCGGCCATGTGAGAGTGAGGTCCTTGCGAGGACCTCACAATCACATGGCCGGGATAGCTGGCTTCTGTATTGCCAGCAGGGGGGCTGCCTGTAATTACAGGTGGTCCCCCTGCTGGCTGGAAATAAAATTAAAAAAAGTTAAATAAGTTTAAAAAAAATATATATATATATACTTAGATCATATATATATATATGATCTAAGTATATATATATACACATATACATACACACACATACACTGTCTAGGTGTATTTTACTATTAATATATATATAATTATATATATATATATTAATATCAAATTACACGTAGACTGATACTGATGAAATATATATATAATTATTGTTATATATATTTATATATAATATTAAAAAATTAAATATGTAAATATGTTAAAAAATAAAAATAAAAAAGTAATTAAAAAAATAATTAAAAAATATATAGATGTGTGTTATTTCGTTCTAACTGTATTGTGATATTAATATATATATATATTTATATCAAAATACACGTAGAACGAAATAATATATATATCTATATACATAAATATATACGTATATAGCACTATATATATATATATATATATACCTATATATAAATAAAAATATTTTAAAAACATTATATATATATATATATATATATATTAATTCTACATATATATTTATATAATTTTTTTACATAATTAGGTATCTTAATTAATTACAATTAGCGGGACCTGCCTGACAACCCATGCCGAAAGTGAAGGGAATTTAATTTGCTAGCACTATATTTAACCCTATAACTTTCCGAGACACCATAAAACCTGTACATGGGGGGTACTGTTCTACTCAGGAGACTTCGCTGAACAAAAATATTAGTGTTTCAAAACAGTAAAATGTATTACAACGATGATATCGCCAGTAAAAGTGAAGTTTTTTGCATTTTTCACGCACAAACAGCACTTACACGGACAATATTATTGCTGCGATACTTTTTACTGTTTTCAAACACAATTATTTGTGTTCAGCGAAGTCTCCCGAGTACAACAGTACCCCTCATGTACAGGTTTTATGGTGTTTTCAAAAGTTACAGCGTCAAATTTAAGGCTTGTGTTTCATTTTTTTCACATTAAAATTCGCCACATTGGTTACATTGTCTTTGAAACCCTATGGTAGCCCGAGAATGAAAATTACCCCTATGATGGCATACCATTTGCAATAGTAGACAACCCAAGGTATTGCAAACGGGGTATGTCCAGTCTTTTTTAGTAGCCACTTAGTCACAAACACTGGCCAAAATTGGCGTTTTTTTGAATTTTTCACACACAAACAAATACTAACGCTAACTTTGGCCAGTGTGTGTGACCAAATGGCTACTAAAAAAGACTGGACATACTCCATTTGCAATACCTTGGGTTGTCTACTATTGCAAATGGTATGCCATTATGGGTGTAAATTTCTTTCCTGGGCTAATATAAAGTCCCAAAGGCAAAGTAACCAATCTGGTGAATTTCAATTTCAAATGTAACATGCTATATTTGACCCTGTAACTTCCCAAAACGCCATAAAACCTGTACATAGGGGGTACTGTCTTACACGTGAGACTTTGCTGAATACAAATATGTGTATTTTATTGCAGTAAAATCAAAAGCAGTAAAAGCAAAAGCAAACTCATGTAAGTAAGGAAAGACTAGAGGGCGTACAATTACGCCTGGCGGCGTTTAGAGCCGCCTAAAATAGGGCGTAATTGTACGCCCTCCGGTCTTAAGGAGTTAAGGGGTTAAAGGAACATTGCCCCCCAAAACATATTGTTTTTTTAAATCACTATTTAGTTGTTTTTTTTGTCCCATGTCCCCTTCCTCACTCAGCAGTCCCTGCCCTTCCCACTTTTACACCCTGCAGCCCCTGCTCCCCTCTCACCCAGAAGCCCCATGTCCCCTCTTCCACCCTGCAGCCCCTGTCTTTCCCACTCACCCGGCAGCCCCTGCCCCCCTCTTACCCTGTAGCCCCTGTCCCCCTCTTAGCCTGCAGCCCCTGCCCCTTATTACCCTGCAGCCCCTGTCTTCCCCACTCACCCTGCAGCCCCTGTCCCCCTCTTACCCTGCAGCCCCTGTCTTTCCCACTCACCCTGCAGCCCCAATCCCCCTCTCACCCTGGAGAACCTGCCCCCTCTCCCTCGGCACCCCTCTTACCTTGCAGTCCATGCCCCTTTTTACCGTGCAGCCCCTGTCTTCCCCACTCGCCCTGCAGCCCCTGCCCCCCTCTTACCCTGTAGCCCCTGTCCCCCTCTTACCTGCAGCCCCTGTCCCTTATTACCCTGCAGCCCCTGTCTTCCCCACTCACCCTGCAGCCCCTGTCCCCTCTTACCCTGCAGCCCCAGTTCCCCTCTCACCCTGCAGAACCTGCCCCCTCTCCTCCTGCCCCCCTCTTGCCCTGCAGCCCATGCTCCTTATTACCCTGCAGCCCCTGTCTTCCCCACTCACCCTGCAGCCCCCTTCCCCCAGTTACCCTAAAGCTCCTGCCCCCCTCTTACCCTGTAACCACTGTCCCCCTCTTACCCTGCAGCCCCTGCAGCTCCTGTCTTACCCTCTCACTTTGCAGCCCCTGTCCCCCTCTTACCCTGCAGCCCCTGTATTACTCTCTCTGTGGGTCAACTTTGCTGCAGGAGCTAGTTCTGCAGCAAAGAAAGTTAAGACTTTAGAAAGTTAGGAAGGGAATTCTAAAAACCAACAACTATTTAACACTTTTTTAAACTGCATTGTACAAAAATAAAATTCAAACATATGAATTCTGTAACCTAGAAATTCCCTTTAATGCTCTTCAAAACCTTTTTCACATTAATTTCCAGTGACACAAGTAGAGATTAGTCTACTTTAATACAATTATTTTTTAAAAATCTAGCCATTTACCAACCATTGCAGAAAATTAAGTTTAGGCAATACAAATTGTATTTGCTTCTGCATTGGAGCCATAATCTTACATAAATTTAGTTTTCACTGCCTTTTTCAAGAAATTAGTATTTCCAGTTGCAACCACTAGATGTCACCCTAGACATTCAGGTAACCCAATAAGCCATATGTTATGTTCTGCTGGAGATGTAAAATAAAGTGAGTTATTCCACAACAGTGCTTAAAAGAAATATTGCCTGTATGTTAGTTCCTCTTGGAACTGTGTCCTGTGTGGATTTTTAGGGATCTCAGTAACAGAGTCTCTGGAACTGTTGACTGGCTGCACGATACCTCTAGCCCTGGGATAAATCAAGAGAGCTAGGCCCAAAAGCCACAAGTGCTTTTGTAAAGCCATAGCAATCAGAGGAATAGGCTGAGGGGACGATAAGTGCCTGGAAGGAAAGCTCCAGAGGAATAGTCAGAGGGGACGATACCTGTCTGCGAGAAGAGTCTGGTCAGGTGGAAAGGTTCCGTAGAGACCCCTGTCAAGCTTTGGCAATTGGGGATGAAGAGTTCCAGGCTCCCTCCCAAATGGCTAGGAAGCGAATTGGGCAGAGGTACTTGATCGGAGTACAAGAGCTCTGTCATATATATATATTTTATTTTTTATTAATAGGCCTGTTCCATGGACCTGAAGTTTCAGCTCCATCGGCCCCTATGTTAATCCTGCTCTGACTGGTCATATTATTAAAGAAAGAAAAGGAATTTACTGTCCATGAGAGTTTAACCAGACTTACTTTCTACATAAATCAGGTGCAAAACAGCACTAAGTCTGCCCTCAGTGGCTGTCTACCCGGCAGCCTCTTGTTATCATCCTCTCCTTGTCCCACAAGGTTATAGGTACCACAACCAGGTAAGGCAGAAACCAGGATCAGTCCTGCCATGACCGCCCATTGATTCATGCATTGGGTCACTGGGTCTTTCAGAATGGTTCGACTCTCGTTTACAGGATTTTATAAAGTCATCTAAGGATTTCCCTTGGGATTCAAAACAGGTTGTAGCATAAAAGCAACCCATAAATGGGTTAGTCTTTATGTCTTTACCCTTTACTCTTCCATTCTAAACTGACAGGATGTGAATGCGATGACCAGGTTTTTGCTTGCATTTCAGGTGAGTTATAGAAATTTTTTCTAGTAACACAAATATTTTGTTTCTGATGGATGGTACTAGCTTCAAAGATGTGGAACTGCTATGGGGACCATAATTGTGACCTCGTGGGCTAATATTTATTTGGCTATATGGGAAATGTGCCACATCTTTGGAGATAGCAACTCGCACATTGACGACCTCCCCTTGGTATGAAATAGAGAACAGAGCAGAAGATATGTTTGTTTTTAAATCTTTAGACACCAATAACTCTTGAACTTTACGTATAGTGAAGGAACAATGTAGGGTCAGGAATACAAATTTATATTCCTGACCCTATAATGAAAAAAAACACCATTTAGGTTACCAGCCTCCCGTAGCCCCACTTAAAAAGGCTTTAAAGTTACCATGTCCACCAGCACTGGTTCTGTCCTTGCAGCTAATTCAATGCTTTCCCATATGAAAGCATTGGGATGCTAATGCACCCAAGGACAAAATGCCATACTGCACCTATCAGCATTGCCTCATTGAGATGAATTGAATCAGTGCATCTCTATGGGGAGCATTCAGCACCTCCATGCAAAACGTCACTGACCCAGGAAGCATCTCTAGTGGCTGTCTGAGTGACTGCCACTGGGTGTGTCCCTAGGCAGTAATGTAAACTCTGCCTTTCCTCTGTAAAGGCCTTTTTTCACTGAAAAGGCAGTGTTTGCATCAAAATTCCTGCAGGGACAGACTGTAGACACCAAAAGCACAATATTAAGCTGTAGTTGTTCTGATGACTATAGTGTCCCTTTAATATTTTTGGATAAACTTTTAAAAAACATTTTTATATATTAAAATTATCAAAAATATATCTTGTATAAAAAAAATACATCAATATATATAATATAATTTCAAAATATTAAAATATTTTTCAAAATGTTAAATCATTTTAAAAATGTGTTCAAAACTATCATATATTAAAGGGACACTGTAGGCATCCAGACCACGCTCATTGAAGTGGTCTGGGTGCTGTCTCTTTTGCACCTAGTGCTGCAATGTAAACATTGCAGTTACAGAGAACTGCAATGTTTACATTGTGGCACTAAGTCTGCCCTCAGTGGCTGTCTACCCGGCAGCCTCTTGTTATCATCCTCTCCTTGTCCCACAAGGTTATAGGTACCGCAACCAGGTAAGGCAGAAACCAGGATCAGTCCTGCCACCCAGACAAACAGTCAATCTATTCCCATTGATAGCTGCAGAAAGCCAAACCGGTCAATCCAAACTATGGACTGAATCTTCCAGACAGCCATGGGGGATCGCTTCCGGAATCATAACAAACTTTTGGACCGTTAAATGAGGACCTCCAGCGTCAGATTTTCCTCATATGAAAGCAATTAATCAATGCTTTCCCTATGGGGAGGTCTAATGCGCGTGCAGCATTTGCCGCGCATGCGCATTAGACCCCCTCATCGCTGGATGGAGGAGGGGCGGAGCATTCGACCCAGCGCCGAAGGACATCGGCGCTGGCATAAGGTAAGTAAATAAAGGGTTTTTAACCCTTTACTTACCAGGGAGGAGGGGAGTGCGAGGTGGGATAAGGGGGAGGCAGAGCTTTGTATTCCTAGCACTACAGTATTCCTAGCACTACAGCACTACAGTATCCCTTTAAATTGAGGCCTTACAACAATTTTGTTTCAGTATGCATCAATGAATCCTGTTTCCATATGAAATATGGCTAAATTGAGGACACTAATTTTAATCTAATTTCTTCTAAACCAATTATAGAGTATATTCTTGTCAGTGGGAGACTGATCACGGTAACGGAAGGTATTTTTTTTTAAATTTAGTCATTTTTGAAGAGTCCTTTCCTTTTGGTCCGTTTAAAAATAAAAGTAAATCTTTTTTGGTATCTATGAATCCCTTTTTTTGACAGCAGATTCAGTCCATAATTTGGATTGACTGGTTTGGCTTTGTGCAGCTGTCAATGGGGATAGATTGACTGTTTGTCTGGGTGGCAAGACTGATCCTGGTTTCTGCCTTACCTGGTTGCGGTACCTATAACCTTGTGGGACAAGGAGAGGATGATGACAAGGGGCTGCCAGGTTTCCACTGGTTGTTTTTGTCTGATTCCTTAGTGAATTTCCTAAGTTGCCTTGTCCAAACTGGGTGTTAGGCCCCTGCCTTTTGTTTTCCTGCTGCAGCCTTAAAGCAACACTTTCACCTTCTGGGGACATCGCAAGTTCGCAAAGACCTTTGACAGTGGCATCGCTGCCTGCGATCCGGTGCCCGGGTTGCCAGGTAAAGGTAAGATTTACTTACCTAAACCTGTCTATTGCTGGCGCGGCCATCTTCTTCCTACGGGCCTCTTCAGCTCCTAAAGCTGAGAGTACTGCATTGAGGTCTGTGGAGGATCCTATGGCATCCTCCATAGACAGAGCTAATTCCCTGCAGCATTACTGGTGACAGTTGTAAGGTTGACACTGTAGCTCCCCCTAGGGACCAAGAAAGTCAGGCACAGGAAATATACAGAGACAAAGTATTTCATCTCTGTATATCTCTTGACTGGATTGGAATTTCAATGAAATTCCAACAGAGTTAAAATGAGTATTTCATAATATTTTTATCTTTATGAAATACTCAATTTTTATGGGTGATGACAGTGCCGCTTTAAAGAGAATAATACTTACCTTCCTATTTTTCTGTCTTACATTATTTACATTTTCGGTTCATTTAATTGTATGTGAAATAATACATTTAACATATGGTGAGTTATTTTCTGTTAATTGTGATTGTTATGTTTGTGACATTTATGTAGGGTTTTAATTATTACTGATCTGGTCTTTTTTTATTTGGAAGAGTAATCTCTTTTTATCTTATAAATGTATTGACAATTATTAACAAAACAATAAATAACTCCCTAATTGTTTGAGATAAGGATGAACTATAATTTACCCTATTCTTCACTCACAAACTCTTTAAATGGGTTTGTTTATTATGTACTTGGTGATGTCCATGCGTTCCAGACTTCAAGCAGTCATTTTATTTCTGATTGTGTTCATTTGTCCAATTACTTGTGAGACCCTAAATAAGGGGACTTTTATAGAAAATGGTTGCAATTCCTAAATGTTCCATATTATATTTTTGTTCAACCCCTTCAATTAAAGCTGCAAGTCTGCACTTCAATTGCCTCTCGGTTCTTTCATTTCAAATCTATTGTAGTGGCGTACAGAGCCAAAATTATGAAAATTGTGTGTGTCCAAATATTTCTGAACCTAACTGTATAGCACTCAATTGTTGCTGCTCCCGGCAGTGGCGTACACATGACCCATGGGGCCCCGGTGCGAAAATTGATCCGTGGGCCCCCCCCGCGCGCGGGCCGGGCCGCAACACATGGCGATGGGCACCTGGTCGCAGGGGTTACAGGGCTGCGACCCCTGCGACCGCGGTATGTACGCCAGTGCATGCAGATGCACACACACTTAAAGGACCACTCTAGGCACCCAGACCACTTCAGCTTAATGAAGTGGTCTGGGTGCCAGGTCGAGCTAGGGTTAACCCATTTTTTCATAAACACAGCAGTTTCAGAGAAACTGCTGTGTTTATGAATGGGTTAAGCCTTCCCCTATTTCCTCTAGTGGCTGTCCCATTGACAGCCGCTAAAGGGGCTTGCGTGCTTCTCACTGTGATTTTCACAGTGAGAGCACGCCAGCGTCCATAGGAAAGCATTATGAATGCTTTCCTATGTGACCGGCTGAATGCGTGCACAGCTCTTGCCGCGCGTGCGCATACAGCCGACGGGGAGGAGAAGAGGAGGATCGGAGGAGGAGAGCTCTCCGCCCAGCGGTGGAAAAAGGTAAGTTTTACCCCTTTCCAGAGCCGGGCGGGAGGGGGTCCCTGAGGGTGGGGGCACCCTCAGGGCACTATAGTGCCAGGAAAACGAGTATGTTTTCCTGGCACTATAGTGGTCCTTTAAAGGACCACTACAGACACCCAGATCACATCAGCTCAATGAAGTTGTCTGGGTGTCAGGTCCCTCTAGTTTTAACCCTGCAGCTGAAAACATAGCAGTTTCAGAGAAACTGCTATGTTTCACTGAGGGTTAATCCAGCCTCTAGTGGCTGTCTCACGGACAGCCGCTAGAGGAGCACACTGAACGTCCATAGGAAAGCATTGAGTAATGCTTTCCTATGGGCGGTTTGAATGCGTGCGCGGTCGCATTCGGAGCTGAGAGGCTGAGGGATCCTCAGCGCCAAGGGAGTCCGGCGCTGGAGAAAGGTAGGTGCTGAAGACACACACACTCTCACTTACAGACGCATACACACTAGCTAACAGACACACACATTTACTGACAGAGATACAGTCAGCGACAGACATACATACACACTCACTTACAAAACATACACTCTCATTGACAAACACACACTCACTAACAGACAAACAGACTCACTAACACACACACACTCAGTAAGACACACACAGTAACACACTCACTGACACTCACTAGCAGACACACACACTAACACTCACTCTAACACTCACACTAACTCTAACACTCACACTAACACTCACTAACACTCACACTAACACTCACACACACACTAACACTCACACATGATTTTTTTTTTTTTTTAATATAATCCCCCCAGCCTCCTTACCTCTTGGAGTGCTGGGGGGGATTATTCCCTGGGGTCCAGTGGGGCTCCTGGGCGGGTGGCCGGTCGGGCAGGCAGGCAGGCGGGCGCGCGAGGGAGCACTCAGTGCTTCCTCTTCAGCTCCCTCGCGCGCCGCGTAGGGATGCCGGCGCCGGAAGATGACGTCATCTTCCGGCTCCGGTATCAGTGCGGTGCGCGAGGGAGTTGAAGAGGAAGCACTGAGTGCTCCCTCGCGCGCGCCTGCCTGCCTGCCCGACCGGCCACCCGGGGTCAGCAGGGCCAGCCTCAGGGGGGCCCTGGGGTGGTCGGCTCCTGGGCCCCCCAGGGGAAGAGGCTGGCCCTGTGGCTACATACCGGGTCGCAGGGGCGGCCGGGCCCCCTGGTGGGCCGGGCCCGGTCGCAGTCGCGACCCCTGCGACCCTGGTATGCGCGCCAGTGGCTCCCGGCCCGCCTCATGGCGCAGCCGTGCCCGACCTGCATGACCTCGCCGATATTGCGAGCTTACCTGCGAGCCGGGAACCGCTCCTCCGCGTCTTCTGGGCGTTGCGCCCAAATCAAAGATGGCACTGACCACGTGGTCGCACACACCACAAGCTCCGCCCCTCAAATTTATACGGACGTGCGTGTGACGTCACAATGTCAACGCACACGCACGTTCTGGGGTCAGAGGTCACCCTCTGACCAATCAGAGCCCAGAGAGGGATATTTAAATCCCTAATTCACTCCAGTTCCTTGCCCTGTCGTGGCTTGCTGTTCCTGGTTCCCGAGAGTGCGTTTATCTTTGTGAATATTACATCCTGGTATCCTGATCTTGGCTTTTCCCTGGTTATTCCGAATTCTGGTTCCCCTGACTTCGCTTGTTTCAACGGTATCTGAGTATTTCTGGCTTCCTTGACCTCGGCTTTCCCTTTGACCATTCTCTATCTCTAGCGTATTAGTCCGGCCATTCTAAGGTCCGGTTTACGCTCTGTCCTTTTATTTAGTTTCTGCGTGTTGGACCACACTAGCAGCCGTCCATGGATCCTGCGGAACTATGCAAACATATGAATGCCTGTGAGAGTAGGGTGGAGGATATGGACCACGGGTTAGATCAATTTGCCCAAGCATTCCAGACCTTGCTCCAGAGAACTGCCTATCTGGAGGCACCTCTGGTACCGCCTGTGGCTCCACCACCTGTAATAGCACCTGTAGCACACAAACCACCGTCCATAACCACCTCTCCCTCGTTTTGGAGGTGATTCTAAGGAATCTAGAGGTTTTCTAAACCAAATTGAATATCACTTCGAAGCTTCCCCTCGTTAATTCCCTACAGATAGATCGAAAATTAGCTATCTAATGAACCAATTAACGGGTAAGGCTTTAACCTGGGCTAATCCCTTATGGGAGAGTGGAAATCCAGTTACAAGTGATTACAGTGTATTCCTAACAGCTTTCAAAACTACTTTTGACCCAAAAGGGAGAGAAAAGAACGCTGCCAGAGCCCTAATGAGAATAAAACAAGGCAACCGCTCTGTAGCTGATTACGCCATAGAGTTCAGGACATTGGCGTCTGAGGTTGACTGGACCAATAGAGGTTTGGTGGCTGCTTTTTCCGAAGGTTTAGCGGAAAATATACAAGACGAGAGCACAGCCAGAGATCTTCCAGTTAACCTTAATGACTTTATTGCATACATGATAGACATTGATAACAGGCTCAGAGAGCGAGAGAAAAACAAACAGCATACTAGACATTCTAACTTATCCATAGCCCCTTGTTTCTCTAACCCAGTGGTAATTAGCCATGCTCCACCTCCAGAACCTGAGCCCATGCAATTGGGCATTGCTAAACTCACTGAGGCAGAGAGACAACACAGACGCAACAAGGGGTTGTGTTTGTATTGTGGCAAAAGGGGACATCAAAGGTTTTCATGTCCTGTTCGGACGGAAAACTTGCACACCTAAAGCACGTTCGGGGACCGACCTTAGGTGTGATGTATATGTCCCCTAAATTGACTAAGAACCGTTTCCTTATAAAAGCTACTTTGTCTTGTAAGAAAACCACTGTACAGTGTGAGGGTATGATTGACTCTGGGGCAGCTGAGAATTTTCTAGACAAGGAATTCTCTGCCAAACATCTCCTGCCCTTAAGGCAGAAAGATAGACCCATAGCAGCAGAGGCTATTGATGGGAGACCTCTTACCCAGCCTCTCATCATGCACGAAACCCTGCCAATCACTGTCTCAGTGGGTATCTTACATTCTGAAGAAATGGTGTTCCAAATTATATCTTCACCTACATGTCCGATAATACTGGGTTTCACTTGGCTCCAAAAACACAATCCATGTTTAGATTAGGTGGAAGGAGAAATTGTGAGTTGGGGTGAGAGATGCAGAGGTATTTGTTTAAAACAGGTGCAACAACAAATTGGTACCTTCAATATACCTATAGCGCCTCCCTTGACCACAGAAATCCCACCGCAGTATTTAGACTTAAAGGAGGTATTCAACAAGGTACAGTTGGAGGTATTACCACCATATAGACCCTATGACTGTGCCATAAATTTGTTACCAGGCACTATGTCCCCTAAAGGAGGCGTATATGCACTATCTCCCCAAGAAAATCTTTGTTTAGAAGAGTACATAAAGGATGCTCTCAGAAAGGGTCACATACATAGATCCTCTTCACCTGCTGGGGCTGGGTTTTTCTTTGTCTCTAAAAAAGAAGGAGACCTACGCCCTTGTATAGACTATAGGGGTTTGAATAGAATAACAATAAAAAAAACGCCTATCGCATTCCCCTTATTTCTGAGTTATTCAATAGGTTGAAAGGGGCCCAATTCTTCACTAAGCTCGACCTCAGAAGTGCTTACAACCTAGTCAGAATTAAGGAAGGGCACGAGTGGATGACCGCGTTTAATACGAGAATGGAACATTACGAATACCTAGTTATGCCGTTTGGACTGTGCAACGCCCCAGCGGTGTTTCAGGATTTCATTAACGATGTCCTTAGAGAATATCTCCACATGTTCGTTTTAGTGTATCTAGATGACATTCTCATCTATTCCCCGGATTTAGAGACACGTCATGAACATGTGAGAACAGTACTAAAAACCCTGTTAAAGAACGGCCTCTACTGTAAGCAGGAGAAATGACAATTTGACCAGACTGAGATACAATTTCTTGGGTACGTTATATCTCCGTCTGGTTTCAAAATGGACCCACGGAAATTGGAAGCAGTCTTACAATGGCCATTATCCAAAGGCCTTAAAGCTACACAACGCTTTATAGGTTTTGCGAATTATTACCGCAAGTTCATTTAACGTTTTTCCTCTGTAATCTCTCCTATTACCAACCTCACCAAAAAAGGAGCAAATTGCAATTCAGGGCCCAAGGAAGCAAAGGAGGCATTTGAGCAATTAAAATCTTTATTTGCCTCAGCACCTGTCCTGACACATCCCGATCCAACCAAACCATTTATCCTAGAAGTAGATGCATCAGAAACAGGAGTAGGAGCCATTCTGTCTCAAAGAGAAAGTCCTGATGCGCCTTTACATCCCTGTGGGTTTTTCTCTCGAAAACTAACATCTGCAGAGAAAAATTATGACATTGGGAATAGGGAGTTATTGGCCATTGTACTTTCCCTTAAAGAATGGAGGCATCTCTTAGAAGGTTCCAAAGAGCCACTTCTTATTTTTACCGATCATAATAATTTGGCATATATTGGGGACGCTAAGAGATTGTCCTCTCGTCAGGCTAGATGGTCATTATTCCTGTCCCGATTCAATTTTGTAATTACGTACAGGCCCGGGACCAAGAACACCAAGGCAGATGCGTTGTCTAGGCAGTTTGAGACAGATGAGGTTCCTGAACAAGAGATATTCCCTATCATACCTCCAGAATGCCTTATTGCCATTACAATTTCCAAAGTGTCTTCTCCACTCTTCTGTGCCATAATAGCAGATCAAGCTCAGGCACCCGTGGAGAGACCTCCGGATAAACTGTACGTTTCACCACCTTTAAGGAAAAAGGTACTTGGATTATTCCATGATAATTTGACAGCAGGTCATCCTGGAGTCCATAAAACTATCTCTGCTATCTCCAGGAGGTTCTGGTGGCCTACACTTAGGAACGACATCAAAGATTATGTAGGGGCATGTCAAATATGTGCCGTTTCTAAAGCCTCTCACAAATCTCCTCCCAAGCTGCTACAACCACTGCCGATACCTAATACTCCATGGACTCATTTAGCCATGGATTTCATGGTGGATCTGCCCAGTTCAAACGGATTTAACACAATCCTTATGGTCATAGATAGATTCTCAAAAATTGCATATTTTGTACATCTTAAAAAAATTACCATCTGCTCGAGATCTTGTACAAATATTTTTGAAAGAGATCTTTCGGTTACATGGAGTGCCAAAAAACATAGTATCTGACATAGTATCTGACAGACGTACCCAATTTATTTCTAGGTTCTGGCGTGCCTTTTGTAAGCAATTGGGTATAGAACTTTCATTTTCCTCAGCGTATCACCCTCAGACTAATGGCGCAGCAGAGAGGGCCAATCAGTCTTTAGAATCTTATTTACGTTGTTTTATCGATGCCAATCAGTCTAACTGGTACGAACTCTTACCCATGGCTGAGTTTGCCAGAAATAATGCAACTTAGAATCCTCTAATCAAAGTCCATTTTTTGTAAATCAGGGTTATCACCCCACTGTTTTACCTTCTGAATTTTCAGACACTGATATTCCTGCCTTGAACACCCATTTGGATTCTATTCATGATATTTGGGATTCCGTTCATACAGCATTACAGAAGGCATCAAAACATGCTAAAAGCCAAGCTGACAAGAGACGGGGTGCCAATCCTGTCTATCAACCAGGAGACAAGGTGGGGTTATCCAAACGTCATGTCAAACTTAAGGTTCCTTCCGTGAAATTTGCCCCTCGGTACATAGGTCCTTTTCGGGTCCTCTGTCGTATCAACCCTGTGACTTATTAATTGGCACTTCCTGCTCACATGAGAATTGGCAATTCATTTCATGTGTCCTTGCTTCAGCCTCTTACTTGCAATCGATACACTAAAGTGGCTACCCCTCCTCCGCCCTTGGTAGTGGGTGATCACGAGGAGTACGAAGTTCGTTCTATATTGGACTCCAAAATCTAGTGGACTGGAAAGGTTATGGTCCTGAGGAACGTTGTTGGGTTCCTGCTGACCAGGTTCATGCGCCCCGTCTTATCCGGTCGTTTCACAACTGCTTCCCTCATAAACCGGTTCCTTCCCACCCGGTGAGCGGTTTTCGAGTAGGGGGTACTGTTGCGGCTCCCAGCCCGCCGCATGGTGCAGCCATGCCCGACCGGCACGACGTCGCCGATATTACGAGCTTACCTGCTCGCCGGCGAGCCGGGAACCGCTCCTCCGCGTCTTCTGGGCGTTGCGCCCAAATCAAAGATGGTGCTGATCATGTGGTCGCGCATACCACAAGCTCCGCCCCTCAAGTTTATACAGAAGTGCGAGTGACGTCACAACGTCAACGCACACGCATGTTCTGGGGTCAAAGGTCACCTTCTGACCAATCAGAGCCCAGAGAGGGATATTTAAATCCCTAATTCACTCCAGTTTCTTGCCCTGTTGTGGTTTCCTGTTCCTGGTTCACAACAGTGCGTTTATCTTTGTGAATATTACTTCCTGGTATCCTGATCTTGGCTTTTCCCTGGTTATTCTGAATTCTGGTTCCCCTGACTTGGCTTGTTTCAACGGTATCAGAGTATTTCTGGCTTCCTTGACCTCGGCTTTCCCTTTGACCATTCTCCATCTCTAGCGTATTAGTCCAGCCATTCTAAGGTCCGGTTTACACTATGTCCTTTTATTTCCTTTCCTTTTTTATGTATATGTTTACATAGTTTCTGCGTGTTGGACCACACTAGCAGCCGTGACATCAATACAATATAAGGATAAGTAAACATATTTAAAGTTTAAATTTGGGAAGGGGCAGTTCCCCCTCAAACATTTCCTTAGCACTAGCAAGTTCCAGTGCCCATTCCCATTGTACAGCGCTACAGAATAACATTGCTGGCGCTATATAAATAATAAAATAATAATAATTCTATGGGAACTGAAGTTGATACAATGTTGCTTTGTACATGTGAAGTTAATACAGTCTTTCATTATGAGGTTTAGTACATTGCCATGGTTGCTATGGTAACGAGGTCCCAAAAGACATTTTTCTCATCCACTTAACTGGCTGGACTGAATATAACATTCCACAAAATAGATTTTGGCAAGGCCATCACGGATATCTGAAATATTAATCCAAAACATTACCAGTTAAACTGTTCTTTTTGTTTTAGGGAAACCTTGTGATATAAACTCTTTACATCTCAGTACGGGAATGTACTACATCTGTCAAATTAACAACACATAAATATTTTGATACAGTCATTAATAGTATCATAATTTTATTCTTTCTAATGTATTACTGCATTTATACAAAAATATAAGGTAAAAAAATATCTAATGATATCTGTGAAATTCTAAAACATGATTTTGAATGAAGTGGATAATTTTCAAGATTTTAAGTAAAGTAAAGAGAGATTTCATTTAATGAGATTTTATCTTCCATAAATGCCTACAATAAAATAGAAGATAATCTGAGAGCAGTACAATATGGGAGTGACTGGGCTCATTCTATGAGAGAGGTGTGTACAGACAGAGGTGGGGTTTCAGCCGGAGTCAGGACAGCATGCTCTGTCTGCTCTCAGTCCAAGCTTTTCCTGAGCATGTGGGTGAGTTATTGCCTTATCTTTCACTGTAAAACACTTTTAACCTTAATTTACATAAAAATAATCCAGGTTTTATTTCATTACTAAGTGACACGTGAGTAAACTATAGTTGACACTTCCTGGAAATTCTGGTTTGAAGGTATTTATTCTTTCTACCCAAACCTGCTTCTGGCAATGGGTTATGGGTAGTAACCCTTTCAATATCAGTTGGATGTGAATAGGTATCTGCTGTTTGAGAGACACATATTAAGTCTTCATTCTTTAGACCAGAAATGTTCAAATAGCACTTTAACGCATCCACAGGTGGCAGGAGTGAAAACAAGAAATAGTAAACTTAAAGGGACACTCCGGTCACCATAACATAATATAAATTAAGATGTTATGGTGCTAGGACACCTGCCAGACACACTCTTACCTAATTAGGTTAAACTGTCCTCTAACAGTTAAATCCCAAAAGATGCCTCCAGCCTCTGAATCTGAGTCACAGGAAGTGTACGTACCTTTTTATCGATGGGGAGCTACTGGTTGGTAGAGTGTCTACTGACTGCTCTAGTCAGTCTGCGGCGCCCCTGCCTGGCGGCACTCCGCGCTTCCTGTGACTCAGATTCAGAAGCCGGATGACATCTGGGAGACCTGGCGATCGGCGCTGGAGGCAACTTTTGGGGTTAACCTGTTCAAGAACGATTTAACAACGTAAGGCAAGAGTGCGTCTGGGGACCTCCTGGCAACTTAACTACTTCATTTAACTAATCATGAAAACAAGAGATTTGCCTAGAGTGGTCATGATGGAGATAACAGCATATTTTGGTCCTGCAGCATTTAATGTTACATACTCATAGTTATTTACTAAAGAAAGAATTGTCAGGAGTTCAGTCTGGATTCAGAATTAGACAGGAATTTGATCAATTTTCCAGCTTGGCTATTTTTGGCCCAAATTAGAAATTCACTTTGAATTCCTAATAATTTTGACTTTAGCAAATGACCCTGATAGAGGGTCACATACACAGCATAACTGTATCACACAAAACGCTGTTATCTGACACCTGTATGATGGAAACATTGCAAAGATTACATGTTTCATCTCTGTAGATACATTTTGTATAAAAAAAATGAAACGTACATACATTTGTCAAGATTAAAACAATTACATATAAATAATAAAATATTTGCATTACAGGTTCTCCTCTGTGTTTACTGTGACCCACTGTTATCAAAGTGAATTTGAAACGATTGGTTAAAAATAGGCAAACTGGAAAAATCCTCTACATTGTTTGTTTTGACATGAGTTTGACATTAATTTAGGGCTCCAGACGATCCACCCTTTAGCGAATAACTGGAATTATTTGTTGTTGCGTTTCTATAGAAATATATGTGACCGCTATTGTACTGTAAAATGATACCTGTTATAAATTAATTGAGCTCTAGATAGTAAGCTTATTTGAGCAGGGTCACCTGTTCACCTATTGTTCCTGGAACATTTTCTAATTGTGTCATTTATTGTTAAAGCGAGACTATAGTCACCAGACCAATTACAGCTTCATGTATTTGTTCAGGTGAATATAGTCAGTCCATGCAGGCTGTTTGCAGTAAACACTGTCTTTTCAGAGAAAAGGCAGTATTTACATTATTACAGCCTAAGGACACCTCCAGTGACCACTCCTCTTCAGTGGCTGCTAGAGGTGCATCCTGTATCCACCCCCTGCGTGGTGACACTGAACTTACCTCATAGACATGCATTGATTCAATACATCTCTATGAGGAGATACTTATTGGCCAGAGCTGTGTTTGGCTTGTGGTGGCTCTGCCCCTGACCTGCCTTCTTCATATTCTAATGCTTTGCTATAGGAAAGCATTGTGAATGGCTCACATCATCACTTCTGATGATGTCAGCCAAGAAAGCAGTATAGGTGCAGAAGCAGCACCAGCAGACTGGAATACAAGTAAAATTTTACTATATTGAGGAGGGCAGGGGGGATAGTTTGTGTTTTTAAAACTATAGCATGTTTGTGTTCCTGACCCTATAGTGTTCCTTTAAATTTCCCCCTTTTTAATATTGTACAGCGCTGCGGAATAAGTTGGCGCTATATAAATACCAAATATCATAATAAATGTTGCCTCTTTATAATAATACATTAAGAGCTATAGGCTGTCATAGTTTAGAGGGAGCACGCTCAGCTCTGCATTGTTCTCATGAACTGTGTTGGTAATCTTTTTACTGGACTCTTTTTTTGTCCTCACTTAGGAAAGTAGAATGAACTGCTTTGTTAAGATACAGTCTGATTATTATACCAGATTCACTTCCTTCCCAATATAAAACAATGCATGTGTTTACTATTTACTTAAAGCGGGTCTAATCAGGGCTCGGCAAAGTTAGTCTGGGCCACAATCTGGTTTTAGCTAGTGCTTCTTTTTCCAGCCATCAGTCATCAAACTGCACCTGCACAATGTTTCAAATCTACATTACGAGCAGCAGCTAAGTAACAATTGTGCAACAATCCATATGACTCATACAGCACCCGTGTGATATGCAGTGCGTCAGCCACATGACCTTAACACACATGGCAAAGAACACTCACATCACATATATCTACATACATTGGCAATGCAACAAAACAGAGTCACATCATATCTTTTAAAATAAGGAAGTGACAGGGCGCCTATGACTCAATGAGCATATGTTTTTTAAAAAAGTGGCATGACTCATAGGTGCCAACAGTCCCAGATTTTCTGAGACAGTCTTTGAATGTTTATCACTAGTAGCACTGTAAAAATCTACATATTCTGTGTTTCCTAAAAATAATCTCATGTTGTTATTTATTTTCAATGTTTTAATGTGTTTCCTTTTTCTTACGGGGTTAACAACCTTCAACTGTAGGAGTCACCCCAGTCTAATAATTCCCCAGTATTCCCTTCTGATCGAGAGACATCACGTGCATCCTCGTGTACTATGTATAGAATGGAATGCAGTAGCAAAGGCTGACACTGGGCATAGCTTAAATTTGGTCCTGGGTCACTTGGCAATGATCATTACCCACAAGGCATCCGTAAAATGAATTCCCTAGAAGACGTCATGGACAGAGGGAACATAATGGCCGCGGCCGGAATTAGGGCAATGAAGAAAAGATAATAAATATAAATAGGGGTAAGGGATGGGAAGGGTGTAATCATTAAAATACAGGATGATACGGAAAGAAAAACATGCAGAATTTTTTTTTTTAGAGGGCCGCTTTAAAGCACGTCATCAGATTTTAATAATGTCTCCAATCTAAGGAGCTGTCATTCCCCGAGGTAGCTCCAGTACAGAAATTCACCTCTGTGTGTTTATTTGCCAGAAAAAAATGGTTCTCCTAACATTGCATAAAGACGTTCTTTCATAAGAGAGTAATTTGTAACGTCCCCAGCTCACTTTCCCGTCAGTGATTCACTGTCTGCTACTGACCACAGACATAGTTATTATTTTTCACCCAACATACCTTCATGAAAAACAAACTGCTAAAAAGTAAAAGAAATGCAAAAAAGAGGAAACAAACGCACGTAAACGTTAGAATCTGACATCGTTCCTGCTTACACTAAACGAACACTTTTCTTTTATTCTGTTTTATTAGACGCATGCTTGGCTGCGTGGACTGAAATTAAGTACAGATGGATAGCAGTAGGACAATTGGTGGGGTAAGTTGACCTTTTATTTAGCCCTTAGTATACAAATATGTACACAGTGTGTGCTGGTGAAGCTCTTAGCTCATCAGTGATTTATTAACTGCTAGATGAATGGATTGTAAACAATCAAATTAAAAGAAAGCAAATTATTAATTTTTATAATTTCTGAAACCTAGCATGCATGTTGATCGTATTACTAATATACTGTATAAATACCAGGACGTACTTGAAAACCAGAGTAATCTGAATGTACCTTTCCTGGTTAAATACTTTGTTGTTATTATTATTATTATTATTATTATTATTAGTGGATGATGATGTATGTTTGGCTGTTTCATTAGTTTCTTTCCAGGTCTCTGCATATTGACTCACTTTTTGCAGAACCTTTAGTTTGTTTCTTAGAAACTTTTTTTCTAATATTGTAGTTACTACTAAGGCATCAATCGGGTTTTAAATTCATGCAGCCAGGATCAGATTAAGACTTATGATAACAACTTTAGCCTATATTTCACATTTTTGGATATGCTGTGCAAATTATTTTAGATGTTTGGATACATTTTAAAATGATTTTTCAAAATCTAAAAATCGAAAAAAAATTAAATAAAAACAAACTAAGAAATAATATAAGCTGCACCTTATAATGTGTAAAAGCTAAAGAAACACATAAATAAATATAAACCATAAACAAATAAAGTGCTCTGTATCTTTAAACCATGTAATATATGGCATACATGGCATACTGAGCAAGCCGCCGAGCCCCCTCCTGGTGTCGGGTGACACAGTCTGCCTGAAGGTGGTTTAGGCGGCCGCGAGGCCTTAAGCGACCGCCTAAACCACCGCCTCTGATTGCAGAGCCTATACAGTTAGAGCAGGCTTCTCTGCGCTACACTTGTGAGTTGAATATTCTCCCTTACTTCCTTTTTACACCATTGTTACATTATTACCCTATGTTGTTGTTTTTTTCTATTTATTTTTATATGATATACTCCTGATGAGATTCTTCTTGCTCATAATAGTATGTATCAAGAGTTCTCATATTGACACGGACTTAAGGCAATATATTTTAAGATAATTTTGATGCACAGTGCACTTTTACACAGTTTTTCTTGTGGCTCACTTTGTATTCACAATTATTAGAATATATGTGTGCACTTTATTATTGAGTGAAATACACTGTTATCACTCTGCAGTATATTACATGTTTTGTTATGTTTTGTTTTGTTTTGTGATGCCAAGACACGTTATGTTATGTATAGGATGTTATGAAATGTCTTATGTGATATATGTACCAATTGTATACAATTGTGTCATTGTTGGGCATAAAATGATTGTGACTGTGCTTAAATAATCAAACAAACTGTAAAATCTTCAAACATTTTGAAAAATCAAGAAAAATCCAAATATAGAAAAAAAAAATATATCAAATACAATATAAAAAAGATTTTTCAAAATATTAAATAACTTTAAAAGCTTATCTAAAAATTATCTTAAAACGTTGTTATGGTATGCAGAGGACCGCTCTCTGATTGCTCTGCCCCTGAACCTCTGCTCCCTGTCCCAGGCTTCAATGAGGAAGGTTCAGGCCAGGCACCACTGATTATTATTATTATGTTATTATTTATACAGCGCCAGCAAATTCCATAGCGCTGTACAATGGGTGGACTAACAGACATGTAATTGTAACCAGACAAATGGACGCACAGGAACAGAGGGGTTGAGGGCTCTGCTCAATGAGTTTATATGTTAGAGAATGAAAGTGGCAGCTGGCATCCCCAGTCAATCAGTAGCTCCCCATAAAGAAGAGCTACGTATCTTTTTCACGCTCTTTTAGCAATGGGAGATGATCTCAGCCTATCAGTAGCCCCCGGCTTACTGATTAAAGCCTCCAATATGGAGTTAAAGTTCAGGCTCAGAGCGATAGAGGGCGGGTTTAAAGACTTTCTGGTTAAACCGTTCTTTACCTTTTTAACCCCTTCACTTAAGCCGGCACCCGAGATCTCCTTGCACCATTATAGCTTCATTCCAATTAAGTTGTTATGGTGCCTGGAGTGGTCCTTTAATTATCTTAATCCACTTCCGATGGTCTGTATTTTGAACCTCATTGGGGTTTCATTAGTAACCACATGAAGCAATATATATTTTATTATATTGTATTATAAGAAAGGGGTGAATTCAGGAAAATCTTGGGGCACTTACAATCTCAACTGAACACAATATGAATCAACAATTTCTCTGTACTAGGGTTATAAACTATATTGTGAATTATTAGGAATTGATAGTGAATTTCTGCTACTAAATTCCCAAAAAATCTCCATTTAGTGAATAAACTTGGTAGTGTATACTCAGTACTATGTTGGCATGGTCACTAGCCTAGGACATAATTAAAACTCCCTTAAAAATAGAAGCCGTTAAGCAGTGTTGTCAAAATTAATTTTTTTCTCGGCCCTGCTGTCATCCAGATTCCAGGATGGAGGAGGTTCAGGTGATGTAAGGATTCATTTGGAGACTGGTCACAACACCAACCTCCAGAAATTCCAGAAATTAGTTTGTTTACAGTTTGGACCCTTTATCAGCTACACCTGTTTGCGTTACCTGTCCAGTAATGATCTCTGTCAGTTTGTTAAACAAACATACCTCCCATTATACTACAACTGCTGACATCCAGTAAACCAGTAAAACACATAAACACACAGCACAAACACGCGTACACACTCACCACCAACACACACAGAGGCACTCTAACTCCTTTCAGTCTATCCCAGCATTTGGGTGGTTAAGCCAGGTCTCCACTCCCTTAAGTAAGAGTCCTTATAGGAGATATTTGAGCTCAGGGACCATGTGGGTATCCTCTTCCTTCAAACCCTCTCTCGTGAGTTAAATTATTGAATTGGTCTTTTATTTTGATTCATGTAGCAGTGGAGAAATAAATGCGAGACTCACAGGTCTCAAAGCTGTTGGGGGAGAATGCAATAATACATGCGAAGTCCCTCCCTAGCTCCCAAAGCCCAGCTCCTAAGGACCATAACCACTACATCTCTTTAAGAGTAAAACACAAAAGCCATTTGACTGTAGTTAGTATTTGACTTGTTTAGTGAGTTTACCTGACGAACTTATGGTGTGAAATTTACCTAGTAATATTTATAGTGATTATTTATAAAATAAAATGTTGTGTTTTGTTTTTTTACATTATTACTTTTTGACCCACAGCAATCACCCGATGTAGATGGTTTCAATACAACGGATGGAGACGCGTTGGCCACTCAGCAATGGAAGAGTAGAGATTTCAGCCATTCTGAGGTATGAATTGAGACTTTAAATCTTTTTTTTTTTTTTTAAACAATCAAACATAGCTTTTATTTCGTTTCTCAATATCTCACTGTTTATGGCTGTGAGAAATCTGGAACAAACGGCTATTGTTCCAAATCTGGTTTTATAGTGATAATTTGCACTTTGCAGCCTTTATAAAGGCTTTATTAAGGTTAAGATTCTTATTTACAACATTACAATAATGCAAAAAGTGTACATGCGAGACTCGCAGGACTCAAAGCTGTTGAGGGAGAATGCGATAATACATGTATAGTTTCATATGCAGTGTTTTGAAAAAACATAAGCAGTAACAGTACAGAGTTATAGAGGTTTTGGAGCATATCAGCTATTTCTAAGCATATAGGAAGAGCCTGTAAAACCCACTGGCGCCGACCGGGTGCGGACCCTGCTGAATTAATAATTCACCGGTGATCCACGGTAGTCGAGTGGGCACGGGCCGGCAGGGGGCCCCCAGAACACATCGAACACCTCTGATTGATCAGCCTCAGGAGTGTACGTATGTGGGTGTCAGGACTTTATAATAATAATAATAACCCCACCTCCTTTTATGACGCGCCGACGTAATGAAGCTAAGAACGCCACAGCCCGCCAAGGTGTTAGAACGAGAACATTTGGGGGCGTGGTTACCTACCTAATTGAAACGGTATTTAAAGAAAACCAGGGAGAGACTCATTGCCCTGTTGTGGTTCTTGATAGACCCAAGAGCGCGTATCTCGTATTGGTATTCTTGTTTTCTGACTTTGGCATGGTTTGACTATTCCTCCTTCTGTGTTCCTTTGATCTCCGCTATTGCATTATCGTTGATCCTGATTTCTGGTACCCTTGACCTCGGCTCACTATTGACTATTCTTTGTGTGTGTAGTGTTAGTCCAGCCATCCTAAGGTCCAGTATACATTACTAGTATTTGAATTCTGTGTGTAGGATCCCCGAACGTACATGACATTTACATCTTGATTTATATGTTCACTAAAAACCACCATTCACATAGGACTTAAATAGCCGTTTGTTGTGGTTTCAGTATATAAAATATACTATCTGTTCATTATTTAGGGCAATGTATTCATTTCAAGTTTCATTTAAAGGGACTACCTCCTATTTTATTTCCCCCTTTACTTCATCTCTGTATTGTTAAAGTAATACAGCCTTAGAGATCAAATCTCCTGTACAACTATGCCAATCACTACAAAGAAAGTAGAAAAAAATGAATATGGACACATTCTAAAAATTGTAGGACATTTCACACATCAGATTAGGGGAGTGGCAACACTTACAAGGTTTACAGATTCCATTTGGAAGCAAAGACACCCCCACCCCCACACCCTTCAAAAAAATTGAATAATCCATCAATTACTTCAAATTGGAGCATCTTTTTATTTTTTAAGTTGATTGCTTTTGCTTGTATTTTTCACACATTTATATATAAAGCATTAAAAAGAATGAGTCCTCTCCAGTTTTGAACATTCCTCTACTTTTTAATCTATGATTCACATCTTGATGGAAGCACTATTTCTACTTGTTAATCAAGAATAACAAGTGGGACACAGCTTCGTAGATCTTGGGAATAAGTTGTACCAGAAAAGTGAGACTTAAACAATGAGACCTGTTCAATAACCGATGCATTGATAAGGAAAATCACAGAAATTGGAATGAAATTGAGATGAGGCGGATTTATTTTTTTTTTCATTGCTTGGTTGTTGTGGTTGAGGTTTTGCAAGTCAGATTTCAACTTAGTTTACTCCAAGCCAGTGTCTGGTAAATAATAAACCACTTAATAAATAATCCTCTTAGTATTTTCTACAGTAGGATATTGTAAACACTAAAGCCATGCATAGTCTAACTGCCAATATTAATCTAGAGGCATGTACTACCCTGCCAATTTATCCACTTTAATTACAGATTAGGACACGTGTGTGGGAGGACAGATTACAAATATTAGGACAAATTCCCTTTCTCTGTAATTAGTAATTGCAGTGTAAAACTGATCATCTAAAGCTTTGACCTTGAGTACACAACAAATTATTTATTATCTTGTTTTTTAAGGCATATTTTTCATTTCATTTATCAATGTCCTGTATTTTATCTACTGTTAAATGGATTTGTTCGCTGCACACTGAATAGTAAATTTGGGCTAAAGTAATCAAGCTTTGACTTTTCAGTTTACCTGAATTCACCAATTAGGGAATTAGTGAATAGTTTGTTTTTTGGTTTTTGCCTAGGTAGAGGTTATTCATTAAAGGGGCACTATAGTGTTAGGAATACAAAGAGGTATTCTTACAGGACCACTATAGGCACCCAGACCACTTCAGCTTAATGAAGTGGTCTGGGTGCCAGGTCCCTCTAGGATTAACCCTTTTTTTAATAAACATAGCAGTTTCAGAGAAACTGCTATGTTTACACTGAGGGTTAATCCGGCCTCTAGAGCCTCTAGTGGCTGTCTCATTGACAGCCGCTAGAGGCGCTTGCGTGCTTCTCACTGTGAAAATCACAGTGAGAAGACGCCAGCGTCCATAGGAAAGCATTGTAAATGCTTTCCTATGAACTGGCTGAATGCGCGCGCGGCTCCTGCCGTGCATGCGCATTCAGCCGATGACGTCGCTAGGAAGGAGGAGAGGAGGAGGAAAGCTCCCCTCCCAGCGCTGGAGAAAGGTAAGATTTTAACCCCTTCCTCTCTCCAGACCCCGGCGGGAGGGGGACCCTGAGGGTGGGGGCACCCTCAGGGCACTATAGTGCCAGGAAAACGACTATGTTTTCCTGGCACTATAATGGTCCTTTAACACTATAGGAACCATCTACGACTCACCCCCACCTACTTGATGATATAAAGGGTTGAATAACCATTTACACATTTACCTGGTTCCACTAGAGGAAGTCTTAGTCCTGCAATCTAAATATTGCAATTCCTCTAAAACTGAATTGTTTTACATTACCAGCTTTAGGGGACTGGGACACTCCACCCAGGCTACTTCAATGAGATGAAGTGGTCTGGGTGCCTGTAGTGTCCCTTTAAAGTGTTTTTGTTTTTGTTTTTTAGGTCCCAGAGCAGAACCCCGAGGGACACCACTTACCACTTTTGTCCAGATTGAAAATGTACCATTAATGACAACTCTCTGTACTCTATATTTAAGCCAATGTTTGATCGAAGAAAGTGGATTTTCATCTATACTTCTACTTACTTCTTCGTATAATGCAATTTTGTTAGTTTGACATGACCTATGTTTCCTAAAACCATGCTGAGTTTGCTAATAATGTTCTTCCCAATGAAGTCCTGAATATTATCCCTTAATAACCTTTCAAATACTTTCCCAGCCAGAAAAGTTAAACTCACAGCTATAATTTCCAAAACCTACATTGTTTCTTACTCTGTAACTATTCTAAAGATTCCTGAGCTCATGGGATTAATCATAAATCCATAAATTGAGTTCATTCTGATTAATATAAAGTGAAGTATGAACTAAAAGGCCCTTGTAGTGCCTTCCTTCTCCCGAGACACGTTTTGTCTGTAGATGGCTTTTTCAATGGGTGTCTAATGATATCCTGGTCTCCGTATTTAAGTTTGTAGCGTCCCTGCCTTTTTCCTCCATCATCCAATCTGACAGTTGCTCAACAGTTGTGCCATGTTCGAAGACGGTGTCTCTTTACAAACACAAAGATGAAGCACCGTGCTTGTAGCAGCAGTAGCTTAGTATCCAACAGCTCAGAATACATAGTAAAAACAAAGAGAACACTACCTGCGCTCTGGCCTAACTCCCCATGTACATTTAAACAAAATGGAGGCTCTTTAGTTTTATTCCAATGGCAATTTGAATATAAGCTCAGATGCCACGCCATATTTATTAGTATTGCCCATTATCAGCCAAATAAAATACATGAAATTAAGAGAATAAATATGTTTTAAAAACATAGATATGTAAACGATTATATTATCTATTTTATACAATAGTATGAATCGAATGGATATATTAAAACATTTATATAAAAAGCTATAAAGTGTATTAAATAACCACATAATGCAAGCCATCCCATATCAAAATATGTAATACACATATAAAAGGTAGGTATATACATATAAATACACACTAATTAGTGATGTCCCGAACGGTTCGCCGAACGGTTCGCCACGGACGGCGAACATATGACCCTGTACCTCACAGTCATCAGACACATTCCAGCCAATCAGCAGCAGATCCTCCCTCCCAGATCCTCCCACCTCCTGGACAGCATCCATTTTGAAGCTGCATTCTTAGTGAGCTGTCCAGGAGGTGGGAGGGAGGGTCTGCTGCTGATTGGCTGGGATGTGTCTGCTGACTGTGAGGTACAGGGTCATATGTTCGCCGTCCGCGGCGAATTGTTCGACGAACCGTTCGGGACATCACTAACACATATAAAAAAAAAGTTTTAAAAATTATCCAATTCAAAATCAGCATTAAGACTAAATGGGATTAAAGTATTAAGATTTTAGATCCATTTCATCTCTGTTTTACCTAATTTTTAATGAAATCCTTTCCTCTCCAATTCATATTCACTTTCTTTATAGCCATAAATTGTAGAAACTGTCGGCCACTATTATGTACTTGTTTAAAATATAGTGAGACGCTTTGTTTTTTATATCCTTTGCTAAGGTTTTAATATATTATTATATGTAATGGATGTTTGGTTATTCCCACCTAATACAATTGGCATGTCCATTCAAGGAGATAAATGACACTTTTAGCAAAGCATGTAACTAAATTCTTGATTTAATATCTTCACTCTTTTTTATGTGGATCTACAAATGTCTTTATTTGTCTCTTCGTTCTCTTAGTATTTTTACACGCCAGACATAATCCGTACCCAAAAAACCTTCTAGATGAGCTCATTTTGAATTGGAAAAAATGAGCAACTCATCTAAGTTGGGGATTTCCCATTTGCAGTCATCAGTTTACTCCAACTCCTAAAACCTTTTTTACATATCTTCAACTTCCTAGACTTACAAAATGTGCTTGTGTTTGCAAAAAAAAAACAAAAAAAACAAAAAAACATATTCACTACCAGGTTTTAGTTGCAATGCAAAATGAAAAATTAGTTCATGTGTGCTGATGGAAGGAAAGGTGTTACATTTAATCAACCTGTAGACAAATACAATGGACTTTATTTTTAGAATGCTTGGTGCCAAACAACTTATTAGTTCCCATAAAGCACAATAACGTATTAAAATAAAAACCCTGAAGAATAACGTTACTTACACAGCATCACAAATCCATATGCATATTTAAATAACTGGAGGATTTTTAGTATCAATCTAATGGCCATTTAAGTGTAAGTTCATCTGCCACATCAAGGCAAAACCTCCTAGGTACACTAACAAGTCACCTTGCTTCTTTTAGCTAAAAGGCAAAATCTCTCACCGCGGAAGCTCACACAACACCCCACACAACAAGACATGACACACATAAGACAAAAACCGAGTGCACCTTTCCATACACCTGACGATTAAACTTAAATGCTATATTGAAATGGTGACTAACCTGCTAATAATCCTGTAATCTATATAAATGAGTGGTTAAAACACGTAGAAAAGCAAGAAAGGTGCTATATTGATCTGTCTGGTAACCCCCAGACACACTGTACTCTCTTGAACTCTAGAACAAACCATGCACCGATGACAAACTCAGAAAACAACTAATCAAATGTATATTTATATCATACATATATTGTTATCGTATCACATAATCTTTCTTCTATGTACCACGTAATATGACATGCCTCAACCACTCAAAAGAAAGAATAAAAAAAAAAAATACAATAAAAACCAAAGAAATGAGTTACTTGCACACTATACCAAATCCCTGTGCGTATTTACATATCTGGTTAATATCACTACAATGGCCATTTACGTGTAAGCTCACCAGCTACGTCAATACAGGTAAGGTAAAAGTGTTACATCCAAGTATTGACAGCTTGCCTAGTTTGCATACATCACATCTACTTCCTTAAAGGAAGAGGTTTTGGCTCCCACTACCCCTACGTGTCTTTTTGGCATAAACTGTTTTATCCGTTAGCGAGCATTACGTTCAGGTTATTTGTAATTAAGATATTTAATTTACTTTCACAGGCAGAGGAAATAAATATCCAGTTTACCTTTTACATAATTTTACATAAAAATCATCAGGAAAGGGAGTTTAATATTGTGAGACATATACTGACATATACTGATTAAAAATATGTAGTAATAACTGTCTCACCACTGAACTATTTTTGTGTCTTACACTGTTCGTGGAGGGGGTGACTCCTGGCCATCTGGCACTTGAGTGACCTAACTACAATGGCAAGTGCTTCTCATTCCCAGCATCTCTTTGGTGTATATGTAGTCCTAACAGTCTGACAATATCCTTTAAATTGACATACTAGGCACCATAACTACTCCAGATTATTTAAGTGGTTATGGTGCCAGATTGGTGCCATCCCTTCACACTTTTTGACTAATTTGCTTAACTCAGAATTAACAGACCAAATTACAATCTAACATGAAAATCAGCCCTTATCTGATTGCAACCGCATCCCACCATTGAGTTTGGAACTGCAAATTACTAGAATTTATAGCTAGTGCTGTAATTGTCTATTGCTGGGCATAGAATATTATTCAGGTGCCGTCAGATATAGTTAGTGGCATAGGCGTGCATAGCCTATTGCTTTAGGGTTTGCACCCTAAAGCACAAACACGCCGCATGTAAATGTGTATATATATATACATATATATATATATATATTACACAAGATCCAGCGCACTCACCTATCCACTACTCCTTGGTTTTGCACCCCTCCCTGTCACGGGTGCCTCATCCCAGGGCCCTATTTAGCCTTGTACTGCAGAGAGCCCCAGATGGAATTTTTTTCCTCAAGTAAATGGTTAATCTCATAAGAGCAGACATTAGGCTGTTAGTGTAGGACCTGCCAAAGATGGGTTACATTGACGTTGTGGCAGGCTTATGCAATGTATGATCATATAATGTAACTAAACCCCCATTATTTTTGCCTAGATTAGGTGTTTTTAAAAAAACTAATAAAATCTTTCAACATTGAAGTTGCTGTTTAGTGGATAGGTGAGTGCGCTGGATCTTGTGTATTGTGTTATTTGGCCCCCAGCAGCACCCCCAATTATGCATGTTTAGGTGAGTGCAGCCAACCCCCCCTTGTTTCATATATACATATATATATATATATATATATACATATATATATATATACACACACACATACATACATACATACATACATACATACATATATATATATACAAATACACTCTTGCATATATACATACATACAGACTCGCTCTCATATAAATATCAATATAAACAAACATTTTTAAAAATGTATTGAAACGTATGCACACTGCACATTACTGTATCACAGAGCTTCGCCAGCAATAAAACTCGCAGTGATGGGCAGTGTGCATGATGACTGCCATTAAGGGACACTTCCCAATCCTTGCCCGTAGCGTGGGTTTCAGCGTCCATTACACTCCCATTTCATGTCCATTCCCCCCATATTTCATGTCCATTCCCCTGTATTTCATGTCCATTCCCCTGTATTACATATCACCCCCCCATATTTCAAGTCTATTCCCCCCCCCTCCTCCCCCATTTCATGTCTATTCCCCCATATAGAATGTAGGGTACATGTTGAGAGATCAGATTGTCTTATTAAAAGGAAATCATTTACTCTCAGATTTAAATGCCAAAAAATTTATTTTCTGTTTGAATGGTTTACAGTCAAATTGAAGGTAGATTAGTTATTATGATCTTGCCAGACAATACATTTTAATGGGGTTTCTTGAAAAAATACGTAGAGCAACGTTAAGCAACCAGCAAAAGCTGTTAATGTGCTGCTACACTTACTGCCCATGAAGATGCATTTGATTGCCACAAAAAAACTGCGTTATATGTTAGATCCATAGGGAGAAGTAGGTAGGAGGAAAATAAGGCAGGCTTGGCTCACTTGGTTCAGATTACTGGGATAAGTGTCCTGCCGCTCTCCCAAAATGCCCCATAGGTGCTACGTAAGGTTAATAGATAGAGGCTTTGTGATAGCAGTCGGGCTGTCAGCGTGAGCTATTTTGATACGTAAATTTAAAGTTAACTGATTGCAATATTTAGAAAGGTTATGGTTTATTTTTTGTCTTTAGGCCCCTTTAGTAAGGCTTCAGCCTTTTTTATCTATGAACTGATTTTTTTCTGCATATTCTTGTGTCTTTTGTTGATTCATTATATATATCATTAAAGTTAATACACTTTTATTCGTTAATTTCTTGTGTAATGAATGAATATTTTATCGATTAATAATGCTATATTTATTACGTTTCTCTGCTTTTGGTTTTACAGAACCTGGATTTACATCTAGAATGCGTGCGCCAAGAACCTGATAATATTGATAATATTGACAAAGCATCGTATTTTGACTTGTTTGAATGGAACTCTCCCATTGACTCAAAAAAGAAACTCACCCTGTTTCCAAAATGGCATTTACCTTTAAAAGTAGCAGCCGCACTGACACTATTTATTTTTATTTATACCTTTATCAGAGAAGTACTTCACCCTTACGTAATGCGTAGCAGAAATGAGTTCTATAGGATTCCAGTTTTGGTGGTGAACAAAGTCTTGCCAGTGGTCTCCATAACACTTTTGAGTTTGGTTTATTTGCCAGGCATATTGGCTGCAGTTCTCCAACTTTACAGAGGAACAAAGTACCAAAGGTTTCCACGGTGGTTGGACACATGGATGCTAAGACGAAAGCAGTTTGGGCTGTTGAGCTTTTTCTTTGGTGTAATGCATGCCCTCTACAGCTTGTCCTACCCAATGAGAAGGTCTTATCGATACAGGCTTCTGAACTGGGCATTTCAACAGGTAATATAATAAAATAATGTATATTACATGGCAAATCCTACAATATGGTAATTTCCTTTCTCCAAAAATGTCAATATTATTTGAGTACTCCTTACCTTGTAGGTTTAGTGTTCGCGCACATTAATGCAGAATCTAATAGCTAAGAATGTAGCCTTTGTTAATGAGGACATTATAGTCACCAAAACAACTTTTGCTTAATGAAACCATTTTGGTGTATAGATCATTCCCCTGCAGTCTCACTGCTCAATTCTCTGCCATTAAGCAGTTAAATCACTTTGTTCATACAGCCCTAGTCACACATCCCTGCATTTGACTTACAGCCTTCCTAAACACTTCCTGTAAAGAGTTATCTAATGTTTGAACTTCCATTTTTGCAAATTCTGTTTAATTTAGAATTTTTTATCTCCTGCTCTGTTAATAGCTTGCCAGACCTGCAGGAGCCTCCTCTATATAATTAAAGTTTAATTTACAGTTTTAATTTACAGAGCAGGAGATAAAAACTAACTTAAGTAGTTCAGTTTCTAGAACTAATCTTCAATATACTTGGGATTATATATTTTGGGTTGTCTTGTGATGTTGAATATATTAAGCCATTGGGAATATAAAAACTTGCAAAACATCTAATTTGGAGTCAATTGGCAAACTTTGTGCATAACTATATATGTATTGCAACCAGTGTGCTGTTTTACACCTGAAAGTGTAACGTGAACACATTGTATGCTCTTATATTATAAGAGTTACATTGTTGCAAGAAAGACAAGAAGATCGCAAACAATAAACAATTTATTATAGGTTAAAGGAACACTCCAAGCACCATAACAACCACAGCCTATTGTAGTGGTTATGGTGCCAGAAGTGCCCTCCCCCACTGTAAGGAGTCAAATAGTTTTGAATGGTCTTCCCGGCTTACCTGTGGTCCACTACGCGCTGCTCCCCACCTCCACTAATATTTCCGTAGAGCTGCAAGTTCCTAAGCAGGAACTCAAAATGTGTTTTTCTATTTTGCTATTTTCCTTTTAAAAGGCATGTATGAGCTGCAGTTTGAGCGTATGGCAGTCTGGGTTTATACAACAAAATGGATTCATGCAGCATGATAACGAAATCTCTTTAGTAAGATTTTCTCAAAGCTTGGTAACTCTGCATTACCAGAAAACCTATACATTTCTTAAAACCAGTATATCGCTGTCAAACTTTGCAGGTCAAAGAGAACAAAGAAAATGCCTGGATTGAGCATGACGTATGGAGAATGGAAATCTACGTTTGTCTGGGAATTTTATCGCTTGCTATCCTGGCAGTTTTGGCAGTAGTGTCAATCCCAACCATTGCTAGCTCTTTATCCTGGAGAGAGTTCATTTTTATTCAGGTACATTTCTGCAGGGTGGCTATTAGACTAATCAGTGCACAGTTTGCTAACTGTAGGTAAAATCAGGATATATGTGGCAAGAGCTGTGCGTCCATGGATGTTAAAACTGTGATATAGAGTAGAACATCTACCTGCAATAAATACCAAACTGGGAGAAGGACACCCCAAATGAAGGCAAAACAGCAACTCTTCTTCCAAAAAAAAACTCTTATATTCCAAAAGATTAAAAACAAGCTCCAATAGACATATCTCGTGCTGAAATAAGGGTGTTTTTTCCATTATATACATTTTTTATATATATATTTGTAACGTAAAAAAAATAAATTCAAATAACCAAGACTGCTAGCCTAAGGAAGGAAAACAAAAATATTATCTCCACGTCGTATTCTATGCTTTTCACAGGAGTGAAAAGGCTAGAATAAGATGTGGAGATAATATTATTTATTTTTTAAAATTATACTTGGTAACTTAAATATGATAAACCTTTTCTTTATATGTACAGAGCCAAACTGAACTCTTTAATCTTTTTAATAAGCTACATTTGGTAACTTTGACAGTAAAACTGAAAAAGTAAATCTATGCATAAAACAAAGAGAGAACATATACGGTAAAATATACTACGTAAACATGCATATACATACTGAGGTAACAGTGTTTAGATTACATAAAGTCTAGTCACTAGTAAAACAAAAATGTTACTAGCATTCCAGGTAATCTTTGGCATATAGAGACAGGGGAGAGATGAGAAAGTAGACAAACAAATTATAGGAGATAGTGTTTAGCCACAGGGATTGTCAATGGTTAATATTTATCTGATATCAGGAGGAACTCGTTCGTTTTAGCATAATACTTTGAAGGTACACTTTATATAGAAGTTGGACCAGTATTCCATCATTTATACAGCTGGCCTGGTTCATTCGGCAGGTTTTCAACTCTTCGGTATCTCAGAGTCAGAGGTTCGAGTCCTGGTTAGCTGAACTTAGCTTTTATTATTCTACATTCAATAAACAAGTACTATAAATCGGGCGCAATAATTAAATCTAGATGTCAAGATTTACTCGTAAACATGTAACAAGCTAAATGTACCAATCACTGTTAAATACTTAATATCATATTGTGCAGTCACTCTCCGTCCCACATCGCAAAATGTTATTTGGTAGAACTGGATCACAATAAAAGGGGGAACTTAGGGACAAATTGCCCCAGGTACACCGATTGCGCATTCTGAGAATCAGATAACTTTTTGAAGTACTTGCTGTTGCTGATACAAAGCCCTTTTAGCACATATTATATATCATGTGTGTTTTTTTATATATATATGTATATATATAACGCACGTTATCTAGCCTAGTCTACAATTCAAAGTATATACTTAAAATTGACTTTAAAATCATTAATAATTTCACACTTTAAAACAGAAATATATATATTTTTTTAAATAAATACATGCCACTTAACTAGAAAGCCATATTTCCTGTCTAGACTAGTTTTTAAAAAAAATAGAGAATTCTTCTCATCAAATGCAGTCTTAAAGATGCTTTTATGTGTATCATTCAGAATACATTAGCCATGAAATACTAAGTCATACTTGGTTAGATGTTCATTTGTTAAAACACTATAATCCCTTCTTTTGTCCCGAGCTCAATGTGTAAAATTGCTGTATGGGAAGCGTTAGATCTTTTAGATGATTATATTTTTTTTTAACATTTATTGGCTTAACTTCATTATTGCTAAAAGAGGGACGCCAAGTGTAAGTTATTCCCCCTCCCTTATTAATGCATTAAGGAGATAATACGTGAAAAATGCAAACCACAAAGTCAGATCTACATTAAAGTTTTATTACTAGGTAACCAACTCTGCATTCGTATTGTTGCTGGATAACTATAGCACCTTCAGGACTCAGGAAGTGGCTTAGAATTGCTAAACGGAATGCTTAATTTACCATAACCCCTACCACACATTGTGAATTAATTTTGGAAAGAATTATTGGATCCACTCCTACTCTTATTTTTTTAAAACCTTGCCCCTCTGTTGCACCAGTTACACAACTGCGTTATCCATCCAATGTGCCACAATGATATCCCATTGTCTATTCTCTACAAGTCCCACATTAATTAATAAACCGCAATGTCTCTGCACTTTTACATTTATTGTATGATGTTGTTTCTATGCTAAATAACCCCTGCCTTTTATTTACAGAGCAAGATGGGATACATTGCATTGTTCCTGTGTACTGCTCATGCGTTTGTGTTTGCTTGGGATAAATGGGTGGATGTGAATCAGTTTATATGGTACACACCCCCTTCTTTCATGCTCGCGGTTATTCTTCCAGTCATCGCTTTGGTCTGTAAAGCAATTCTCCTTCTGCCATGTTTGAACAAGCGGGTACAGAAGATCAGATGTGGCTGGGAGTCAAAACAAGAGAATGGAAACAAACGTGTTATGTATCACTTCTAGCAGTAACACAGCAAGTGATAGAATTCCATGTTGTGTTCATGTAGTTTTGTAAATGATTTATGTGATTGCATTTCACACTTTTCTACAAAGCATCTTTACGAGTTTATCACTAAACACAAAATTGTGGACAATTGTCAAAGCAATTTAAATTTTTATTTCAAAGTAGCTAACGGTTGAACACCTACAACAAAGTTATTTTTCAATTCCACTATTTTTCCCTATATTTTGCAGTTTCCCTGGCAATCCTTTACAATTCCAATTTTAGTGAATAACCTGAACAGTCTGACAGAGGCAGTAGGTTTTGACGAGCTAACACTGTAGGGATTGTTTCACTGTACACCAAATAGCATTGAATTGAAAACCGAATTGTAACATTTGGCCAAAATACGGAATATGATAATATTCTCCAATTCGACTCTAGCCACAGTTTGGTTAGTTTTGCCTATATTTTGCAATTCAGTTTTCAATTCACTATAATATTGCTATAGGACTAATATAATATAAGACTAACTGCCAAGAATTGCAAAGAGACTGCTGATAGAATAAAGTCCACATTATGGCATTTGGCAGATAGAAGACATTTCATGTAGACATGTTACTAGCAGACTGCCCTGCTTCACTCCTAATGTCCTATATACAGTTTGGGGTTATCCAATAAATCGCACATTGCGGAAAATTTGTATTTGTTACATTCTTAATTAAATTTATTTATTTACATACACACAATGTATAACTGTATGATTTATTTACACCACTCTTACTTCTTCGGCACACTGTTTCATCCATTTTGCATTAATTAAATTGTACAAAATATTCTAATAGCTTCATAACATGCTAATATATGTAAGACGCCTGAAAAATATTAGACACCAAAGTACATGTAGGTGTTTACTAAGGAGAGATCTTTCTACCCTCTATGTTGATCCAAAATCAGACAGAAAAAAAAATTTAGGCAATGGCCAATTATACCATATAAAGGGGGCATCATTAGGTAAAGAATTCCACATCTATATTGTTCTTACGGTAAAAAACCCTTTCCTCTGCTGTAAGTGAAAACGCCTTTCTTCCAGTCTCAATGGATGACCTTTTGTCTGTTGTGTATAAACAGAAATTGCACCACATATTCATGATGGGGTATTACCATTCACTTACTGTATATATAAACAAATAAATTAAGAGAGCACTCACAGGACAAATTTCAGGGGAATGTAACTCCCTTTATTGAAGCAAATTCAGTGTCAGAGCAACAAGTTCATCGTTTCAGTCCTATAGCGGACTTTTATCAAGACTTTCTTAAAGGGACACTATAGTCACCAGAACAACTACAGCTTATTGAATTTGTTCTGGTGAGTAGAATCATTACCTTCTGGCTTTTTGCTGTAAACACTGTCTTTTCAGAGAAAATGCAGTGTTTACATTACAGCCTAGTGATAACTTCACTGGCCACTCATCAGATGGCTGTTAGAGATCCTTCCTGGGTCATGGCTGCCTAAAATACATACAAATATTCCGTATCTCCTCCCTCTGCATGCAGACACTGAACTTTCCTCTTAGAGATTCATTGATTCAATTAATCTTTATGAGGAGATGCTGATTGGCCAGGGCTGTGTTTGAATCATGCTGGCTCTGCTCCTGATCTGCCTCCTTGTCAGTCTCAGCCAATCCTATGGGGAAGCACTGTGATTGGATCAGGCTACCACTTCTGATGATGTCAGCAGACTGCTTGTTTTTTTTTAGACAAACAGCATGCAGATCTACAGCTTCTGGCTTGGATGCAGTAAGATTTTGCTACATTTATGGAGGCATGAGGGGTCCAGGGGGGCTAGATGGTGGTGTTAACACTATAGGGTCAGGAATACATGTTTGTGTTCCTGACCCTATAGCGATCCTTTAATAAAAGTCCACCATAGGACTGAAACATTGAACTTATTACTCTGACACTGAATCTGCTTCAATAAAGCTGGTTATATTCACCTGAAATTCATCCAGTGAATACTCTCATTTCTTTGTTTAGCTATCGGCCGGAGCAACACCCAGGCCAGTACTTTATGTTAAGAGTCATCGAGTGCTTTGCTCACCTGTTTCTGTATATATGTATGATATTTGTGAATATTTGCCTATTCGTTATCTCTATCCAAATTTACTACACCGTGTATGGACTCAAGTGTCACAGTCTATGCCAAGAGTTATAAAGTAAATTAAACTATTGTGTCAGCCAGTTATTGCCCAATATTACAACAACACTGCCAGGCATCGTGACACTGAACTGCCTTTCTGTCCTGTAATTCTGACCTGTGATTAGAATATGGCATAAACAGACAAAGTGCAAATCCCCATGTTTGTATTCCTTGCACTATTATCTTCCTTTAGCTTTAATAATAAACACATTTTAATTTTAAAAGTGTTATTTCAAAAGGTGTACTTTCAGTTACCAGAATTTTTAATATGTTTATGTATTCCCTAGGTTTAACAAATAGGTATTTGTAAGGTCTGAAAAATAAAATTAGATATTGAAATCCACACCTGTGTGTTTATCACTATCCTGGCATTAAGTGACCCCATCTTGGCACCCTGTAATATGCTCAGTCCATTGCACTTGGCAGTCAGCATAGAAAGAGTATAACAGAGGAGAGACTGAAACAAAGTCTTGTGTGCCCTGGCCAGGAATAAGCTGAATTTGGAATGCCAATTGCTAAATCGCATGAAAAAGAGCTTCACATGAAAATGTTATAAGTGCTTTCAAAGCTTTATTTAAAATCCAAAAAGTTCTATTTAATCCAATAACCATGACCACTTCTTTTTTAAGTGGTCATAAAGAAAGGAATTGATATGTGCACTGTTTTTGTTGGAACTCTGTTCTGGGCTGCCTATTGTTAATTCTGTGTAAAAAAAAGAAAAAGGGAAAAAATTTCAGTTGTCAGTGCACACAGCAAGGAGATGGCAGATGTAGTGAGCTTCTACAAGCATGTAGCTTGCAAGGGGAAGTATTGATCTCCCTTTCATCTGTGTTTCCTCTCCTCGCCTCCCTGCACTTACAGCTCTCCATTTTATTTTAAATAATCCACTTATTATGGCAATACACATATTTGTATTTAGCGATATCTTGTGAGTGAAACAGTACCCCCATATACAGGTTTTTGGTGTTTTGGAAAGTTACAGGGTCAAATATAGCACAGTACATTTTTCAGTTTTTTCACTTTGAAATTCGCCAGATTGGTTACGTTGCCTTTAAGACCATATGGTAGCCCTGGAATGAGAATTACCCCCATGATGGCATACCATTTGCAAAAGTAGACAGCCCAAGGTATTGCAAATGGGGAATGTTCAGTCTTTTTTAGTAGCCACTTAGTCATAAGCACTGGCCAAAGTTAGCGTTCATATTTGTTTGTGTGTGAAAAATGCAAAAAACTAATTTGAACACTAATTATTATTTCTATTGTTTACATTGATTGTTTCTATTAAGAAGAACTTATGCACTGTTTGTTACCTTCTGAGACAAAATACTATATTGTTTAGCAACAAGTATTACAATTTAGTCACAAGTCTGTTTCTCTTGTATAATGTATTTTAGTTTGATTTTTCTGGGACCATTTGAGGATATATTACCTCTATTTTTATCTTATTGCATGGGGACTTTATGGACTTTGTGTGCTAAATATTGTTTATTTACACCTGTTATATGATTTGTAGGTTTTATACGACCTTAGTGTCACTCAACTTATTTAACCCCTTAGTGACCAGACCGTTTTTCAATTTTCTTACCGTTAAGGACCAGGGCTGTTTTTACATTTCTGCTGTGTTTGTGTTTAGCTGTAATTTTCCGCTTACTCATTTACTGTATCCACACATATTATATACTGTTTTTTCTCGTCATTAAATGGTCTTTCTAAAGATACCATTATTTTCATCATATCATATAATTTACTATAAAAAAATTATAAAATATCATTAATTTTTTTACAAAAAAACCCACACTTTTTCTAACTTTGACCCCCAAAATCTGTTTTGCATCTACAACCGCCAAAAAACACCCATGCTAAATAGTTTCTAAATTTTGTCCCGAGTTTAGAAATACCCAATGTTAACATTATCTTAGCTTTTTTTGCAAGTTATAGGGCTATAAGTACAATTAGGACATTGCTGTTTCAAAATATATATTTTTAAAATGTATCAGTAGTGACATTGTAACACTGTCATCTGTCATAAATCTCTGAATCACACCTTACATATTTAGACAATCCAGGAATCCTGATCCTGATGAAAGTCCCAGATAGGGACTGAAATGTTGATCTAATTTTTTAATGGATTTATAATAAAGCTTGAAGATTTTTTAACCACTGAAAGGCCGTGAGTGCTGATCACTATCCTGCATGAATATGTGTATATATATATATATATATATACACACACACACACACACACACACATACACATACACATACAGATATATATATATATTTTATTTATTAACATTTTTTTTATTCTAACAAAAGCAGGGAGTCTGCCTGTCAGTACAGGTAGTCCCCTGCAGGCAGCACTATCGATGCCTATTGCTCTTTTAGAACGATCACATATCCCATGAGGGGCTAATTTGCCAAGGGGGGACTGTCTGGGCTGTAAGGCAGTTCCCCCAGACGGGAACAACACCGATCGCCGGGGTGGGGGATTGTCGGCGATCGGGTAAGTATTAAGAAATGCTGCAGATATACTAGGTACATCCGTAGTCCTTAAGGACCATTTTTGTTGGACTTACCTAGTACGTCCGCGGTCAGGAAGGAGTTAATTTACAGTAACATTGGCACTATATATTTTTTCATATTTTATTGTTCACTACCAATTTCTGCACCTGGCTTTATGATCAGTTTATTCTGTTCAATTTTTTTGTGATTCTTTATCTTTTAAGTATTGTATCGTATAGTTGAGAGTGCTATTTAGTAGCTTTTCCTATAACTATACATTTTTTCCTTTCTCTTTTGTATATACCGCAACATATCGTCTGTGGACCTCGCCCTGAGTAATTTAATTCACCAGAACCAAACTTTAATACTCAATCTTTATCAATCACTGCTGGTTCTGATCAAAACAAATATTTATTTTTTGAAAATCTGTTTTTATTTATTTGTAGGTTCATCGTAAATTAAACAGTAAGACTCGCAGGTCTAATCATTTATTTAACATTTGAAAAACATAAACAAGGAAAACTTGGGATCCATGAGAGAAATATACGTTTTGAAGACCCATTGGCTTGCCGGCTCATGTTATAATGGGACTCACAGGTCCGAGTCGACTTTCTGGGGAGTAGATCTAGTTAACCTCTACCTACTTTAGGGTACATATATGCTCACTTCTGCTATAACATTGAATTTATCACTCCAGGTTTCAATCTTAAATGGAAGCTTACATATATTATGTAAATAAATAACTATAATTTGGAAAAAATCCTATTATAGTGGAATCTTGAGATAAGAGTAGCCAACTATAACCACTGTGCCACTAGTACAATTAGTAACCACCACCATCTATACCATCTATCTCTCTTATGTGGGACTGTTTTTATTTCAACTATTGTTAGTCTTTATATATTTTGATGTGTGCTGTTTAGACAATAAAGTATAAATACAGTTTGATGTCTGCTGTGCATATATTAGACTAACTTTAGACTTTTTTATTAATACATCTTTATATATACATATCTTCTTACGAGGGGTATGTTAGATGTTTGACTAATTTGTGGTATTGATTCTTACACATATAAGATCTC